TGTTTCCAACTCCTTGCTATTGTGAACAAAGCCACGATAAACATAGGTGTGCATATATCTGCTTGGATGTCACTTATGGTCTCTTTGGTGTATATTCCCAGTAGTGGTACTGCTGGGTCAAATGTTATCTCTATTTGTAACTTTTTGAGAAAGTGCCATACCACCTTCCACAGTGGTTGCACCATTATCCTGTGCCAACTTTATTGGCTCTGACACACCTACCCACATAACCCCAGTCACTGAATCAGTCCATCTCATCGAGGGTCTTCCTCTTCTGCACTGTCCGTCCACCCTCTCAAAAAGGTTTAGTCCTTGGATATAATTCTGGAAAAGGTAGGAAAAATGAAAGATTGATCGGCATGATGATTACAACAGTGGGCTCAAACTGTCAGAGGTTCTGTAGATGGTGCAAGACGGGGCATGTGGGTTCCAAAATGTTGTTCACAGTGTGTTATGAGTTATAGTTGACTTGATAGCACTTTACAACAACAACAACAGCATTTGCCTGCAAAGAGCTCTGGTGACACAGTCCATAGGATTTTGTGCTGCTAATCCAAGGACGGTGACTTTCTCACAGTTGAAATCCACTAATTCCACCACAGAAGATGTGCAGTCTCCTTCTTCATGGCCTCCTCGCTGGAAAGTCACTATTAGTAAGTCTGACTCCGCTGGTGTAATGATAAATTGTTCAGCTAGCAGAAAGATCAGCATATGGAACCCATCAGCCATTCAGAAGGAGAAAGGCATGGCAGTCTCCTTCCATAAAGATTACAGTCTTGGAAACCCTGGACAGTTCTGCTCTATCTATTAGAGTTTCTATGAGTCAGAATCAACTTCATGGTCTTGTTGCTGGTGGATGGGTTTTTTGTTTGGTTGGTTGGTTTTTTCCAGCAGAGTAGACTTTCTTTATTCTTCTTCTTAATACATCATTGTACAGAAGTCTCTGTTCAAGGGATGGGATTAACTTTATAATCACCATGGGCAACACAGTTTCCCTAAGAATCTCTGCAATTTCCTTAAGAATTTAAGAGAACTGAGACTGTGTTAAGAAACCTCAGTCCTATTCCTCTTTAACTAGTTTTAGGAGGCCTAAAATATCACTCCAAAAGTTTCCATTTTGGAATGGAATTTATTGTCCCTGTTAAGGGGCTGCCAGCTACAGAAATCCCCTCATAATATTAATCAGTATGTGAACCCAATTACACATAAATCTTCAACTGCAAGGTTAGCGAGCATGTCTGAGTTTCTGGTTATCAGATATGTGAACTTAGAATAATTTTCTTTCAAACTTAAGCTGTCATGAGCTTAGTCAAACTTATGATTGTAGATAAGTGTTTCTCCACCGGACCAGCCTCCTGAAAGAACTGCCTCAAGGTGAATTTCATGTCTGGATATGGAGCAGGTCAGGTCACGATGGCTCCTTAAAGTACAGAGAATGACCAGCCTCTCGCTTGGTAAACTTTGTCTCCCTTTCCTAAATTGGTGAATGTTTTTTTGTTCCTTAAGTATTCCTTGTTTTCCTACTGATGGTCATTTTCTGGCTGTTTTCCATTTACCTCCCAACTTCCATAGGTACATGTAATTTTATATACTGGTTCCTTTATCTGAGATGATTCTCCAGAGTGAGAGGGGATACTTTCAAATCAAATCTGACTGGTACAGGAAGAGATTATCCCTCCTTCTCCAGCAAAGCATCTGGTTGATTCAAGCCACGCACTTCTGGGATTGCAGTTTAGCTTCTTGCCACTAAGCCACCACAGCTCAACTTTCATTCAGTCTTTTGCGTTTCTTAAGTTGAGTTGTCAAGAAAAACCGCAAGCAACAAAGGCTGGCAAGGTTGTGGTGAAACTGGAACCCTTATTCACTGTTGGTGGAACTGTAAAATGGTGCAACCACTGTGGAAGGCAGTGTAGCACTTTCTCAAAAAGTTTTGAATAGAGATAACATTTGACCCAGCAATTCCACTACTGGGAACATACCCTAAAGAGACCATAACTGACATCCAAGCAGATATATGCACACCCATGTTTATCGTGGCTTTGTTCACAATAGCAAGGCGTTGGAAACAATCTAAGTGCCCATCAACAAATGAATGGATAGAGAAGCTGTGGTATATTCACACAATGGAATACTATGCTGCATTGAAAAACAAGAAACTCATGCAATATTATTCAAAATGGGTGACTCTGGAGGACATTATGCTGAATGAAGTATCTTGGTCACAAAAGGACAAATACTGCATGGTGCTACTGTTGTAAAGCAGGACTGACATCGGGGGTGGGGGGGACTGAAAAAGTTGGGTTTAATAATGTATACTGCATTGAAGCAGATGAGGGAGAAAACTGTTTAAGAGGGACATGTGATTAGGTATTTTTGTTATGACAGGAGTCCAGAGTGAAGGCTGCATAGTGGAGTGGACCTGGGTGAGGTATTGTAAAACAATGAAAGAATTTTTCTTTTACTTTTCCAAGAGGGTAGTGTACTAGGGGGGAGGGTTGGGAGGGGAGAAAAGTGCAACAATGAATGAATGGAAATCCAAAGTCTCTGTAAATTTTCATTGAATTAATAATAAATTTTAAAAAAAGAGAGATTAGAAAAACCAGTGAAGTAGGTCAGATGGTAGGCTATTATTGACTCATGGACTTCAAAGACTGACAAGTCCAAGATTAACAGGTCACAGAGGCTGCAAAAGCTAGTCAATCCCAAGATTGGCAAGTAATACGGTCGGTAGGCCACTGGCTCAAGTTCAAAGACCTAGAGATCTGATGATGAACCTGGTGCAGGATACAGATGGAGCAGAAAGTCACAAAACTTTGCTGGGACATTTTTATCTGTCTACTGGCCACAGCCCTAAGAAACTTCTTTTAATTTATGAGATGCTAATAGCAGAGCCCATTCTGGAAAAGCCCATGCTCAAAGTAAATACACTCTATTGGATCACATCCTAACTGATAAATGAATGGAGAGTTGCTTCACTACAGTTGACATACAACCTTAACCATCATTTCGGCTCACTTTGCTGTGGTTGGTATTTTTGCATGTGCATACCACATACATTGGCGATTGATTATCAGACCCTCTTTGAGATGGATTGACACAGTTACTGCGACAATGCGATTAAGCACAGCAGAGATTGTGACACTGGCACAGGATGGGACAGTTTTGTTGTGCTGTACACAGTTGTATGAGGTAGAGCCGACTCAGTGGCACCTGAAAAACAACTGTTATTTAAATGACCTAATACATTTGTATAAAAGTTACATAGAAAATGAGAAAAGTCAAGAAAAAGACTTAAACATTTTGCCTTAAAGTTAAAATGTCTCCTTGCTAGATCGTTGTGGTAGTTTAACTTGTTTTAACTCTTAGAGAAGAAGGGTAACACCCATCAAAACTATTAAGTGCAGTTTTTAAAATGTAAAAATAGCACTTAGGGGAATTGAATCCAATAATACACATATTTGAGTTGAGAAATACTTATCATTACACCTAATTAATTACCTATACATAATTTCCCATTGTGTGTGAACAACAACAAAATGGACTTTTTGTGGCACCACCTCTCACTAGTCTAGAATCCTAATACTTCCTTTGAGCTAAAAGGATACTTTTTTTTTTAAGCAGAAAGTATAAATAGATTGTACTCAAAGATTATTTCTCTCAAACCTAAGAGGTGCAAATGTAGGGGAATGTGACAAATCAGGCCTTGAAGGGAATGTTACTGGTATTTATTTGGTGCTTCACAATTTACATCCATTCTCACAATTGATCTCAAACAGAACTCTACATAGTAGATGAGAAAATTGCGGTTAGCTATTTCGGTGCTAATAAATGACAGTGCCAGTGTTTGAAAGCAAATTCACAGTTAATGATTCTGTGAAAAGCCAAGGTGAATTCATGCACTCACTCCATGTGAGCGTCTATTAGAGTCAGCACTCTGCTAGTCTCTGGGGATCAACGGGCAAACCCCAGCATAAAATTCCATTAGGCGAGTCCGTGTCTGTTTTGCTTACCATAGTATTCCTAGTGGCGAAAGCAGTGGCTTTTCTCCATCAACTGTGTAATACGCTAAGTGTTTCCTAGTGCCAATTTTGATTCTTTCTCCTTTTCCCTATGTGTTAGCTCCCCGGGGAGCCTATTTTCTGTTCATCACTGTATCCCCTTAGCCCCTATCAGTGTGCCTGGTGTGTAAAAGTTGTTGTTGTGTACCACTGAGTGGAAACTGACCCCATAGCTGACCTTCCAGCGGGTTTTCAGAGGCTGTAAATCACATGGGAGGAGACTGCCTATCCTGCTGGATAGGCTGGTGGATTTGAACTGAGCACCTTTGGAGTTGCAGGGCAGCTTCTTAACCAGTAGGCCACCAGAGCTCACCAAAATCCACTGCCCTTGTGTCCATTCAGACGCATGCAGACTGTCCATCAAGTTTCCGAGGCTCTAAATCTTTCCCCATCTTTCTCTGGAGGAGGGGCTGGAGGACTGTCAAACTCACGTTGTCACCGGGACAACCCAACGAGATAAAAGTGTTGATGACTGAACGTCAGGGCAAGCATCTGTCACTCGTGATTGAATTCTAAGTGATCATGAGTTCACGTCTCCTTGTTCTGGTGCAACAGGCCCTGCCCCCTACTCCCCGCAACCTCCCTCGCCACTCCCCCACCACCCGGGTCTCAGCGAGGAGAGGCTCCAGCCTGGGCCCCGCCCCGGCCCTCAGGCCCCGCCCCGGCCCCGCCCCGCGGGGGCGGACGCAGCGCACGTGATACGCGCCGGCGTGCGCTGTTTCCGGAAGTCCCAGCCCCCGGCATCGTTTTCTGCGCTGCGGCCGCCGCTACCGCTGCCGTGGCTGCCGAGTTCTGCGGGTAGAACGGCCTGACGGGCCGGTTTCCGGCCACCCTGCAGAATGGAGATAATCAGAAGTAGTGCGTGTCCGCACGTGCACGTCCCCGCGTCCCCATCACCCTATCAGGCCCCAGGCCTCCTACCAGCCTGCTTGGCAAGGCCTGGGCAGAGGCAGCGGCTCGGGGCTTTACCTCCGTTGGCACGCGTGCCCTCCACGCTTTGCCTCTCTCTGGTCTGTTCTCCTTTTGAGATCTGGACCTTTTAAGGATTGTGCACCGCCCAGAGCCTTTTCTTCTCGGTCTATGTACCCTTTAGGATCGTCCCTTGGTCCTGTACATCCGTTGCGGCTTGTCCTCCAGCCCGTCAATCCTCCACTTTCCCTTAGGAGTGCTGGGGCAGGAAGCTAGGGTCTAGTTCTAAACTTCCTCTCGGTTTTTCTGCAGATTTTAAGAGTAATCTCCAGAAAGTGTACCAGGCCATAGAGGAGGCTGACTTCTTCGCCATCGATGGGGAGTTCTCAGGTATCCCTCGCTTGCAAGCTCCGTGCTAGCAGCTTGCATCGAATAATTACGGCTCCTCCTCCCGACCCTGCCTTCTCATGCTTCCAGGCTGGACCTAGCTGAGTTCGAATCCATGGGCAAGTTGCACGAACTCTAACATTTCTTCATCAACCTTTCTGAATCGTGGGGGGTGGGAAAATACTGTGGGCTTGTGACAGTTGCCTCTTTGAAGGTTGCTGCTAGAGTTGATGGAATTGATGTTGCTTCGGACAGTTGGACATCAGCTTGGCTGAAAAGTGTGAATTAAGACAGGCTTTTGTGAGAGTGAGAGTATTCCTTTAGGCATTGATGAAAGATGTTCACTGTCAGCCTTCAAAGAGGGGTGCTTTTATGTGCCACGTCTGAAAGTTAATTGCAGAGTTGTTTCCTTTTTTGGAGCAAGGGCTAATTTTTAGGTTAATGGAGTCAATAGGGTCAGCTTATGGACTTAAAAGTCTTCAGCTTTTTCTAAGGGAATCTATGTTGATCTTAATGTGATTGTTGGGCCCTGCAAGCAGATTCTAATTGAAGACAGCTCCCTGAACAGATGAGAATTTTCGCCAGAAATATTGGTCTCTCTGTCTTAGAAATGTCATTGTGGTGTAGATTTTACCTACTCTAAGCTGTTGATCAGAACTGGCTCAGTAACAATAATTACTTTGGGGTTATTGATGTTTGATGATGCATTAATTCTGTGGAAAGCAACCAAATAGAGATTATCACTTGCTCACTGCCATGGAGTGTAGGGAGGCCCTTGGGTTTCTGAGGCTGGAAATTAACAAGGGGAGGAGTCTGTCTGCCTGTCTTTCTGGAGCTGCTTGCTGGCGGCTTGGAATTTGGGGAGACATTTAGACTTTGAGTTAGCAGCACAACCAACTTGCTTCTGTCTATGCCATTTATAGAAACCAAAAATTCACTGCCATCAAATAGACTCTTGGCTGACCCACCCCTGTGCGTTTCTGAGGCTGTAAATCGCACAGGATGAGACTGCCTATCTTTCTCCCATGGGATGGCTAGTGGATTTGAACAGAGACAGTCATGGCATTTGAGTTAACAGTGTGACTTCTTACCTTCTATGCCATCAGCACTCCTGTTATTAGAGATTGTGATGAATGTGTTTTGAAACCCATTGGAGACCATGGAACTCTGCTCATTCTCTAATGGAAGCATTCACATCTTCAAATTCATCATTATAACATCGTGATTGGTTGTCAGTGAGATGAATGTATGTCTTAGTTATCTAGTGCTACTGTAATAGACATTTCTGTGGCTTTAACAGACGCGAATTTATGCTGTCATAGTTTAGAGTAACCAAGTCACTGTCAGCTTGTAACCACACCAAAGGATGGGGTAGAACTGACTTAGTTTCTGAAGCTGTAAATCTTTATGAAAGCAGATTGCCTCATCTTTATCCCTGGGAATGGCCGGTGGTTTCAAACTGCAGACTTTAAGATTGCTAGCCAAATGGTTTAACCACTACCCCACTGGGGCTCCCTTTAGGAGGATCTCAACAAAACTCAAACTCATTGCTATGAAGTCAAAACTGACACATTGCTGACCCTCCAGCAGGTGTTTAGAGGCTGTAAATTGCCTGGAAGGAGATTGCCCATTTCTCTCCCACAGAACAGCTGATAGATTCGAACACAAGAACAACAATCCTCCTCAAAAAAAAGATGAAAAAGAGATTGACTAAAACACTCACTATACTAATACTGTGTCATTGACAGACCAAAGAAAGCCTTTTACTAAATGGGCTTAGAGCTACATGTTCCCTGGTTCTATAATGGGTAACATATTGGCTTGCTAACTGGAAGGTTGACAGTTTGAATCTACTGGCCACGCCTTGGGAGAAAGATGGATAATCTTTTCTCCTGTAAAGATTTACAGCCTCAGAAGCTGTATGGCTAGTCACTATGAAACAATTTGATGGCACTATAAAGGTTAGGATTTATAACATTTAGAGGAGGACACAATTCATAGCAATGCTAATTTTGATAAAAGAGTAATTAGTCTTAATTAATGAAAACATGAAATGTATAGAGACACTGAATGGCTAAATCACATTTTTGCGTGTGTTTTTTTTTAAATTTTGATGAAAGTTTATAGAAAGGTTGGATTTTCATTCATTCTTTCATTAATTGTTTACATTGGTTTTGTATGCTGTGAGATTGAGTCTGATTCACAAGGACCCTAAGCAAATATGGGACAGTTAACATTTGTTAATAAGTTAAAGCTTATTAATAGTTTCAAAGAAATTTGATTAATGAGGATAATGAAAAGCTTTGATTACTTACCTTCTAGGAATCAGTGATGGGCCTTCAGTGACTGCGTTAACAAATGGTTTTGACACGCCAGAAGAAAGGTATCAAAAGCTTAAAAAGGCAAGTAGATGGAGTCGACACTCTTCTTTCCCATGATGAAGTCTCCAACTGTTGAATTATACGGAATCATTCAACTTAACTCATGAAGTTTTTTAAAGGCTATACCTCTTCCCCGATACCAACCAGGAAGTATTGGAATGATCCTTAAAATAACAATGAAGTTAATTATTTGCTGGGAAGCATTTTGAGGAGGACTTAGTATTTAATTTTTCCTTTGGAAGTGTGATGTGGCTGTTTAATTATTTAGACATAGATTTAATAAGGCCTTACTGGGAAAAAATGTTTAAGAAATACATGTCACTGTTGTTCTGGGCTTTCAAGTTGGAACTGACTCATAGCTGACCCTCTAGTGGATTTTTAGAGGCTGTAAATTTGTGTAGGAGGAGTTTGCCCATCTTTCTCTTACAGAGCAACTACTGGTAGATTTGAACTGCCTGCCTTTGGGTTGGCAGCACAGTTCCTTACAACTCAGCCACCAGAGAGCTCCCTAAGAAATGTATGTTGTTGTTGTTGTTATGTGCCGTCGAGTCGCCTGCGACTCATAGCGACCCTATGTACAACAGCCGCTCTGTCCTGTGCCAATCGCACTGTCTCTGACACTCCCATCCCAATTATCCCAGTCACTGAATCAATCCACCTCATAGAGGGCCTTCCTCTCCTGCACTGTCCCTCCACCCTCCCAAGCATGATGTCCCTCTCCAAGGACCGGTCTCTCCTCACAACATGTCCAAAGTATGTTAGACGGAGCCTCAGAATCCTTGCCTCCAAGGAGCCACCCGGTTTAACCCTTTCCAGGACAAATCTGTTTGTTTTCCTATCAGTTCATGGTATTCTCAATACTCTTCTCCAGCTCCACAGCTCAAAGGCATCAATTCTCCTTCTATCCTCCGTGGTCATTGTCCAACTCTCTGATGAATAACAAGTGATTGCAAAAACCATGGCCTGTATCAGACGCACCTTAGTCTCCAGAGAGACACCATTGCTCTTCAGCACTTTGGAGAGGTCCCTAACAGCAGACTTTCCCATGGCAATGCGCCTTTTAATTTCCTGGCTGCTGGTGCCAAGACTGTTGACTATGGAGCCAAGCAAACTAAAGCTGTGTACAATCTCAATCTCTTCACCATCCATCCTGATGCTGCCAATTGGTCCAGTGGTACATTATACATGTACAATGTATAATGCATCAATAATCAATGATTATTAGTATTAATAATAAATATCAACAACACTTAATCTGTGTTGTTGTAGAGCAACATCAGGGGGTCTGCTTGAAGTAAAAGCAAAAGACATTTACTGAGGGAGAGAGACAATCTGGAAAGGGAAACTGTCTAAATTCACAAAGTGAGATGGCTGTTCTGCTGGATAATGAATTAGAAAACATTCTTGAACAGCTGGAGTTAGAATTCAAAGTTACAGAGTCATAATTGGCCTGAAGATAATCTGGGGAGTTAAGTGTGAAAGTGAGGATTTAAGAGGAGTAGGTAGATAACAGAGAAGTGGGATGACATGATTAGTTAAGGGTACGTGCTCTTCCGTTTCTTATGTAAAGACAGTGTTAGGGCAGGTGTTTCTTCTGGTTACCTGCTGTAAATGTTGCTTTCTCAGTCGTGTCTGTTGTAAAAGGTTTGTTAGTAGTGCTGCTCATCAAGCCCTTTTAAGTACACGCTGTCACATCTTGGATCTGTTTGACCTCAGCAGAAAGGTCATTTGGGAACAGATCGTGGTATCCTGCACCTCTTAGATCTTGGGAAAGCAGTGTCTCTCTTAGGGTATATGATTAGATCAGCCTCAAAGTTAGAGGAGCTGCAGTTTGTTTTGGAGAGAAAGCAAATTTCCTAGATGCAGGAGACCTCACCTTCACAAAGCTGAAATGCCCAAGCTGTGTACCAAAGAGGCTTGTAGAAAAGGAAGCTTTTAAAATACAATGTGAATTCTAGGCTCATGTCACGACTTTATTAAAAAAAAAAAAGGAGTTAAGCCTCTACTTTCAAACTGCTCTATTTATACACACCAAATGCCTCTAATTTAAAACTCTTGTAATCTCTTCTAATTGGAAATATTCTGCCAAAGTCAGATCGAGTGAGTCTGAAATCCCACTCGACTGAAAATACTGTTGATTACATGCAAATAACAATGCAATATTGACCAATATAATCTTTTTTTCCTTTTTCAGCATTCCATGGACTTTTTGCTGTTTCAGTTTGGCCTTTGCGCTTTTAAGTATGACCACACGGATTCAAAGTAGGTGGTTTTAACAAGCATCGGAAATTCTTCCATCATCTCACAGTACAACCCCCCTGATGCTCTCTTTCTGTTTTCCTCTAGGTACATAACGAAGTCATTTAACTTCTACGTTTTCCCAAAACCCTTCAGTAGATCTTCACCAGATGTCAAATTTGTTTGTCAGGTTAGTAGCCCAATTGAGTTTTTTTGTTTTACAAGATACTCATAAAACAGCGTGGAAATTTGAACTAATTTCTTTGAGGAATTTAAATCAGACCTTATTTAAAGTTTGGTTCTTCCCACTGTCTTTGTAACTCCAGGTTTTGAGAAAATCATTTAGCTTCTCTGATGTTCAGTTTTAGGGTTGTACATTCATGGCATCCTAATGTCCCTCTTTAAATCAGAATGGATAGGGACCGTGAGACAGATGAGTGGGAATCAGAACATCAGCTGTATTGGACACATAGTGGAAGTCGAGACTACGCTTTGTCATGTAGTTCCATTTGAGAATCCTACTTGTTTACCCTTCAGTTCCACCACCACATTTGGGTTTGCAGGCTTCTCCCTCTCCGATCCTTGGTACATTTCCCTCTGGAAGAGCATGTTGTGCGTTTATGCTGTCCACAAATACAGAACCTACATTAAAAAACCCAAATCTGTTGCTGCAAAGTTAAATCAATTCTGTTGTGAGATGACCCTGATGTCTTAGTGGTTTAAAGGAGGCTTCCTGGTGCAAAATTAAGAAAATGAAAGGAATTTTGGTCTAGCAGCTAGTTTTCGTAAATGAGCAAATGATAGTTAAAAATCTTTACCCCTACAATTGTTGTGTTCCATTGAGTCAGAACCGACACATATCTGGCCTCTCATGGCTTTTAAGAGGCTTCAATTTCACGTGAGGAGACTGCCTGTCCTTCTCTCATGGAGCACATGGCAGATTTGAACCGTGTGCCTTCAAGTTTGCAGCTCAGATTCTTCCTGCTAGCCACCCGACTTCCCGACAGTTGTTGTTATATGCCGTTGAGTCATTTGCGACTCAGAGTGACCTTGTGTACAACAGCTCCGAACCCTGCTCTATCTTGAGCCAACCTCACTGTCTCTGACACAGCCACCCCCGTTACCCCAATCACTGAGTCAATCCTTCTCATCCAGAGTCTTCCTCTCTTGTAGTGTCCCTTCACCCTCCCAAGCATGACGTCCCTCTCCAAGGACTGGTCCCTACAGTTAAACCCCAGCTCTTTCCTAGTCACCTTGGTAGAAGGTACTTGGTCTGAGAAACAGCGCAGCATTTATAGACTCTCGCTGAGAGACTGGGCTCTGTTTGGAAATCGATATGGATGTGGTTGTGTAGTGTAAGTGCTACTGAGTCAACTGTGACTCACAGTATTGCTGTGACCAGCAGACTAGAACCTTATCTGATCCTGCATCATCCTCACAATCTGTGATGTGCTCCCTGGGTCAGTCCATCTATTTTTTACTCTGATCCTCTCCCTTTACCAGTATGACGTCTTTTTTCCCCAAGGAGTGGCCTCTGTTCACAACATGCTTTAAGTATATGAAACAAAATTTCCCCACCCTTACCTCTAAGGAGCACTCTGGTTACACTTCCTCCAGATTTACTTGTTCTTTTGGCAGCCTGTGGTCTGTTCAGTTTTCTTCTTTAGTCTTCCTTATGCATTGTCCAAGTGTTCAGATGCCTATGAAGCAGTATTGGGAGAAGAGATTTACTTAAAGTAGGTATGACTAGCCTTGGGCTAATTCAAGAAAAGCAGTGGTTGAGAATGAGACTTCTTAGGAAAGACGTTTTGTTCTAAAAACTAACTATGGTATTGGCTATTCCAGCACATGTCAACAGATAGACCCCGTGTGGCTACACCTGGAACATGTTCTAGTCATCAGCTACCCCTGCTTGCAAAAGAGAAAATAAATAGACTTGAAGACTGGCCAGAGACTAAATGTCTGAAATGGACAAAGGGCTAAATAAACTGTGGCTTGAGGTTGTGTGACTGCTAGAATCCTCTTAGTCTGGAAAAACAAAGGTGGAGGAAAGGCTTAGACTCATTACATAAGCTTGAATTGTAGAGATAAGTTACCTGTGTCTTGCAGTTCTTCCCTCCCACTTAGGGTGATTTTTGTTAAAATGCCAGGACTGCAGCAGGGTTGCATCTTGAAAGGGCACTGAATTCTAGAAACAACGAGTATCTGTCTAGCCAAAAGTGTTTTTGAAAAGCTCTTCATGTTAAAGTGTATAAGGTCTGAGGGTAAAGCAAGCTCGTATGTTCTTTGGTGAAGAAGCACTTGAATACACAGCTGCTCCCCCGCTGAGTGGGATGAGGAAGGGCGGGCTGACCACCCGGTACAAGGAAAGTCCTTGGTGTGTGGGCACAGCTGAAGAGGAGACTGAACGATCTGCTTCTGGAAAGGTGACAGCTGCCCGGAGTCCTGGGGTGTGCAGTTCTGCTGCGACCTACATGAGGGCGCTGTGAGTTGCGTTCCATTTGACAGCACTTGGTTGACGCGTGTGCACTTGGGAAAAATCAGAGCTTCAGCGCTGTCTCAGTTTCTGTTGAGTTGATTCTCACTCGTGGTGAGCCCGTGCGTGTCAGAGTAGAACTGTCCATGGTTGGGTTTTTAGTAGCTGATTTTCAGATGGGGACTACGAGAACTTTCTTCAGAAGTGCCTCTGCATGGGCTTGAACCACCAACCTTACCAATAGCATCCAAGTTTTAGCTTCTTTGCATACCCAGCATTTCTGTTACTGCTATATAGTTGAAAGATGAATTTCCTTTCTCATTTTCCCTCTCCCCCAGGCCTACTCCCTTCCCATTTCCTGTCTTTTGTCTGGTGTTTGTGTTCCCTTAGGTAGACATTAAATGCATACACACATATGTGCACACGTGTATATTCATGCACATATACGTGTGTACACGCTTGTGTACATACCTGTATACATCATTGAAGCTTTTCTTTACGTGGAATTAAAATGTTTTTATTTTGTATAACTTAGGTTTTCCACTCATGAATTATTTTCTTATTACATAGCATGGATATGTAAAATTTATTTTATCAGCCCCTTCTTTGGGATCAAGAGTTTCCAGTGGCTCCCTATTAAAAACAGTCCTGTCGGTCTCTGGTCTCCGGTGCATTCCCCGATGGACGAGGTCTGGGAGCTCCCCAAGCTTACCTTTGAACTCTCCCTGCTTTGAACAAGGCCCCCAGGCCTTCACTTATGATCTCCAGGCCTTTGTGGATTTAGATGACCCAGCTAGCCAGACAAATCATGTTTCCGGTGAAGGTCAAAGTGAAAAATCAGAGTTGGAGATGGCCAAGGCCCGGAACCAACTGGATGCTGTTCTGCAGTGTCTGCTGGAGAAGAGTCACATGGACGGAGCGTCTAGATGAGGAAGCTGGGAAGACACCCTCAGACGCCCACAATAAGGACTGCTCCATCTCAGTCACTGGAAAACGGCCATCTGCCCGCTTCCCCCACCAGCGGCTAAGAAGAGGAGGGAGATGGATGATGCGCTGGCCGAGGGAGGGCCCCAGCGTTCCATCACGTATGTGATCAAGCTGTTTGACCGGAGTGTGGATTTGGCCCAGTTCAGTGAGAACACACTGCTCTACCCAATCTGCCGTGCCTGGATGCGCAACAGCCCCTCAGCCTGGGAGCGTGAACACTCACCCACTTTGCCCCTACCTCCACTACCTGAAGATGAGGAACAGTCAGAGCTTACCAGTAGCAAGAGTCGGGATGTATACAAACTGCCTCCACCTGTGGCCCCTGGAGATGCCTGCAGGTCCCGCAACCCATCCCCCCTGCAGCCTGAGACCCAGGGCACCACAGAAGATGAGCCCTCGGAATCTGAACTTTCATCCTCCACGCTCATTTTCTGTAACATGCAGCTCTGGAAATGCATTTGCCAGAGGTGGAAGGAAGCATCTCAGCAGAACCAGCTCCGTTACTCAGAAAGAAGGAAGATCCTCCGGGAGATGTATGAGTGACGGTGATTTGCCTCCCTTCATAACCCCTATAAAATAATCCCCTCTACCTTGAAAAAAAAAGCAACCCCCCAAAAACAGTCCTGTCGTTTCTATCTGTGTACAGTCGCCTGTTTTGCTATCTGAGTATTTCTGGAGGATGGATTTCCTAGAAATGGAATTGTTAAGTTGCAGCACATGGCACTTTTAAAATTTTGGTTGTGTTGTTGTTAGGTGCTGCTGAGTTGAGCACTACTCATAGCAACCCTACAAGCAACAGATCTGAACCCTACCCTTTCCTGTGCCATCCTCACCAGTTCTGATATGTTTGAGCCTGTTGTTACAGTCACTGTGGAACTTTAACATCTTGTTGAGTGTCTGTGCCTCCACCTTTCCAAGTATGACGTCTTCTTCCAAAGACTGACTGCTCCTAACCAGTTACCCAAAGTATGGGAGACGAAGCTTCGCCATCCTTGCCTCCATACAGCCTTCTGGTTTCATTTTCTCCGAAACATACTTGTTTGTTCTCTAGTCTGTGGCTTATTAAGTACTCTTCTCCGATGCCATAACTCAAAGAAATTGATTCTTCTTCTGTCATCCTTATGCATGGACCAGCTTTCTGCTGTATAGCAAGTAATTGAAAAGATCATGGCTTGAATAAAGTGCACCTTAGTCTTTACACTAACATCCATGCTCTTTAGCACTTTGGAGAAGTCCTTGGCAGTCAGTTTTCCAACTGCAACACATCTTCTGATCTCTTGTCTGCTGATCCCAAGGATGCTGATTGTGGATTCAAGCCAAAGTTGTTGATGACTTCAATATTTTCTCCATCTATCATGTTGTTGCCAGTGGGCCCAGTGGTGAAGATTTTTGCTTTCTTGTTGTTGAAATGGAATCCATATTAAAGGCGGCAGTCCTTTTTTTTTTTTATATATTTTTTTTTTAATTATTATTTTATTATTTTTGTGTGAGTGTACCGTCAAATCAGATCTGACTGGTACAGGAGGAGATTGTTCCTCCTTCCCCGGCAGAGCATCTGGTGGATTCGAACCGTGCGCCTCTGGGATTGTAGTTGCAGCTCCTTGCCACTAGGCCACCAGAGCTCCCCGAAGGCGGCAGTCCTTGATCTTCTGCAGCAAGTTTGTCAAGTCCTCTTTACTTTCAGCTAGCAAGTATGTGTCATGTATAATGCAGGTGGTTGATGAGGCTTCCCGTAACCCTGACACTGCATTCTTCTTCATGCTATCACTTGAATCTTGGAAATAGTACCTTCAGGACAAATCAAAGGTACTGGAGGGTTGTTGTTAGGAGCGGTTAGTCACCTTTGACACGTGCACTGAATGTATGACATTGAACAAAAAAGAAATGTAGCTAGAGTGCTCCTCAGTAGCAAAGACTGTTTGGGCATGTTTGGGTAGAGTGTTCTCTACCTTGTCCTAGCTGTCATCAGTCTACTCCCTGCCTCTTTGGGTTTGCCTTTTCTAGACCATTGTTCAACGCTGTTGAGTTGACTGGGATTCATGGTGACCTTATGAAGAACAGGTCTGAGCTTTGCCCTGGCTGCTGCCATCCCCACCATCTCTGATAGAGACTTGAGCCCACTGATAGTGGACATAAGTGGAATCATACAGCATACAACCTTTTCTGCCGGGATTCTGTTACTGAGCATACTGTTTCCAGGTTCCTCCATGTGGTAGCAGGAATCAGTACTTAATTCTATTTTAATTTTAATTAGTACTTACTTCTATTTTATGAATAATCCTCATTTGTATGGTATGTGCCCTTTTGTTTTTCCATTCTTTGATCTATGTGGATTGTGTCCATGTTGCTGATATTTTGAATGGTGCTGCTATGCATATTGATAGCAAGTTCTTGTTTGAATCCCTTTTTTCAGTTCTAATGGGTAGGGATATATTTAGGAGTGGAATTGCTAGGTCCTATAGAACAATCTTCTGGTACAAATTTTTACTGGAGAAAGAAAATGAGAATGTCCTGGAGACTAGTGGCAGAAGGGCAGAAGTGCCTTTCCACCCCCCTTTTCAGTCAGCCCCGTGTTCTCATACACTGTGCCAGCCGAGTTTCCGCCCTGGTGCCCGTCAGTCTGGACTGTTAGTTGGTGTGGAAGTTCAGTCTGTATAGGGGCCTCTATGAAGAACCAGATGAAATGATTTAGGTGCCTAGGCTTCTAATGTCTGGCTTAAAGCAAGTTGTTGTTAGGTGTCATCAAGCCGAGTGTGACTCATTGCAACCTTATGAACCCTTTCCTGTTCTGTTCCATCTTTACATTTCCTCTTCCTGACATGCTAGAACCCACTGCAGCAGTCACCGTGTCAATCCAAGTTGGAAATGAAAAATAGCTATTGTAATGATAAGGAGACCTGGCACAAATGCTACCTGAAGGGTCATCAGTTCAAACCCACCAGCCCTTCTGCAGGAGAAAGAGAAAACAATCTGCCTCTATAAAGATGGCAACCTCGGACACCCCGTGGCCAGTTCTGCCTGTCCTGTAGATCAACGTGAGCTGGAATTGATGGCAAGGAGTTAACAGTGAAGTTTCCAGCTCTGCTTGATTGGCATAAGAACTTCATGATGTTTTCCATGCTGGGGAACCATAATTTAAAACTCTACTAACATGTTTTGACATTATGTTTTGGCATGGCCTAAGCTATAAATGAATGCATAGGTATGAGATACTTAAAAAGTACAACTTAACTGTGAATTTTTCTCTATTTTGATCTTGAAATTACTGTGTAGAACATTGAATTAAGATGTTAGGTTTTCAAAATCTAATGTGAGGTAAATGTTGATACTTTTATAAAATGAACTCATGGAACGTAAACAGAGAATTGTTGTTAAGTGCAGTTGAGTTGTAGACAACTCATATCAACCCTATGAACGAAAGACCTGGATACTTGTATAATGTTCATCGTTTCTCTAAGTTCATAGAGTTTCTGGAGGCAAGCTATTTTGGAAGTGGATGTCACTCCTGCTTCCAAGCTTGTTTTAACCAAACACTGTCCACCATGGGTAACCATTAACGCATTTGACAACCACGAATTCCTTTGTACAGCAAATGATCAGACCAGTGCTATACCACTTAGAAGAATGTATACATAAATGTATCTTTTTATCCCTCTTGTTTATAGTCTCCTCATTAGAACTTTGGATACATTGTTAGGAGAGGCTATTCCTTAGAACATCATGCTTGGGAAGCTGGAGGGTCAGTGAAAGAGAAAGGCCCTCAAGAGACAGACTGACACAGTGATTGCGGCAATGGGCTCAAGGTTGTCAGAGATGATGAGGACGGCACAGGAGGGGACAGGGTTCAGGTTTGTTGTTCGTAGGGTCTCTGTGAGTCGTACTCGACTCAGTAGTACCTAACAACAACAACAAAAAGTTAGGAGAGATGGGAGCTGTGGGAGCAGAGTTTGTAGAGAGCTGTCCAAAGGCTATGTCTCTGTGGCGGTTGGAATCCACTAGCAGTTTTGTGTGAGAGAGATGGGAAATCTCTTTCTGTGTAATTCACAGCCTTGGAAAACCATTGGAGGGTCAACTATGAGTTGGTTTTGACTTTATGAAAAGTAAGTTTCGTTTCAGTACTAAAAGGAGCAGCAGTGGTATAGTGGATAGTTTATTGCAATGCTAACTGAGAGTTTGGCAGTTCAAGTCCACCAGTCTACTGTTAAGATTCCCAGCCTTAGAGACTTGAAAGAAAGTTGCTGTGAGTCGAATCTGACTTAACACCTCTAGGTCGGTGCAGGAAGGGGCATGGTATGTTACATGTCAGGCTGCTGCTAGCTGACAGGGTGAGAGTTCAAATCTTCCAGGTGCTTCGTGGAAGAAAGATGGGATGGTGTCACCAATAAAGATTTTATAGCTTTGGAAACTTAACAGAGGGTTGCTTTGAGACAGAATTGACTGGACAGCAGTAGATACAGTGTTTGGGTTTTAACTAGAATAGGAAGGAGCCCTGGTGGTGCAGTGGTTAAGTAGTGCTCAACTGCTAACCAGAAGGTATCTGATATCCAGAAAATAGATGTAACTCTCCACTTCTATGAAGATTACAGCCTTACAAGCCCCATGGGGCAGTTCTTCTGTGTGTTATAAGATTACTGTGAGTCGCAGTGAACATAGTGGTGACAGAAAGTAGTTATAGTCAGAATAGCAGTCTGCTTATTGGGAGAATGTCTGTTCACCCAGCGGGTTTTTTCTTAAAACATTGTGAAACATGGTAAAGGCTTACACTCAGTTATTGTGCTTAGAGGTTTATGGCAGCCCAGCATTGAGCAAGCCTGTTGGTGCAGTTTTTCCAATAGCATGTGCTCACTTCATATCTCTGTGTCACAGTTTGGTAATTTTCTTAATATTTCCAACTTTTAACTAATGCTACTATGCCCTTAATAGACTACAGTGTAGTATAAACATGATTTTGGAAAAAAACCCCCCAAAAACAACATGATTTTTATAGGTACTAGGAAATGGAAAAATTGGTGAGACCTGCTTTATTGTGATCTTGCTTTATTGTGTGGTCTGGAAATAAACCTTCGTTATTATTGTTGTTGTTGTTATGTGCCATCGAGTCGCCTGCAACTCATAGCAATCCTATGAAGCCTGCCCTGCCCTGAGCCAGTCTCACTGACTTGGACACAACAACACCCATTGCCCCAGCCATCTCACCTGGGGTCTTCCTCTCCTGCACTATCGCTCCACCCTTGATGTCCTTCTCTGAGGACTGGTCCCCTCCTGGCCACATGCCCGAAGTATGAGAGATGGAGCTTCAGAATCCTAGCCTCCAGGGAGAAACTTGGCTTCACCCTCTCTTTTCTTGGAGGTCTGTGATTCATTCAAAACTCTTCTCCAGCCGCACAAGTCAAAGACATTCTTCTTCTGTCATCCGTAGTCCAGCTCTCTGATCCTACATTGCCTTAGGAATTCCTATGCTTGCTTGTTATTTCTTTTATTTGTAATAGCTTTCTTCTTAAAAAAAAGTTATGTGAGTGAAAGCTTATGAAGCAAGTTGATTTTTCATTCAACTATTCATACAGGATTTTTTTCTTTTTTTTTAGTTCTTTTTTCTTTTTAAGACATTGATTTTAGTTTGTTGGTACAGGAGACTTACTGATTGGGGGAACAGCACTGCAAGGCGCCGGTGGCAGCTGACCAGAAGAATTTTCTCCTCATATATGCATTTCGTTTTATAATATCAACCCAGAATGTAGTCTGACCACTTCCTCCCTGTAATTCTCATTTCCTTTACTCTTTCTACCCCTTCCTGCTTTCTGGGCTTTACCTGTGGACAAATGCTGTTCCTTTTACCACATGTGATTGGTTATTCTAAGAAGTGTTATTTGTCAGCTTACAAACTTGTCTGTTGTTTGTCTGAGTTGAACCATGTGTCTGAATTGTGTTCCAGGTTCAAAAGGTGGCTTGCATTTATTTTATAAGCTTTCACAGATTTTTTTTAATAAATTAATGGGCTTTACTGGACATTGCTGGAGTAGAAGTCTGTTCTGTCTGGCATGCTCAGTGACTCCTTTGCTTCGGTTCACACATCTAACCACTCATGTCACTGAGAAGGTATATTCTGTTCCTTTCTTTTCAGAGCTCAAGCATTGACTTTCTAGCAAGTCAAGGATTCGATTTCAATAAAGTTTTTCGCAATGGTAAGGTTATGTGACTTATCTTAAACACTTGTTGTTGGGAACGTTCAAAGCCACATATCAGTTCCACAGTTTGTGCATGTCCAGTTCAGCAGAATTTATTACATTCTTGGTCAGTCATTCTCACTCTCATTTTCAGAGTTTTCCTCCCCGTTTAACAAACTCACTGGCCACCAATGGCCCCCTGTTTGATCTTTTGAGTTACTGCTATTACTTTGATCCCATAGTTCTTCAAAGAGCGTAAAGCTCAAAGCAGACATTTTTTACTAGTTATGCTAAATTATGACTAGGTTTGAAGAAGACTTTGGGAATGTTGTTGGTGATCTCACGACCGTAATTTCAGAGGGCCATCCAGCCTCCATGGGCCCAGAAAGTTTGGAATCCATAAGAATTAGATCTTTTTAAAAAAGTTTTATTTTATGTGCAACAATGAATGAATGGAAATCCAAGTTCTTTATAAACTTTCATTAAAATATAAAAAAAAAATTTTATTTTGTGGTTTAAAATAAACACAGCAGAACACACACAATGTAGTGACAGTGGTACATTTTTCGAGTTGTCTAACTGTTCTCACCCCTTTTTTTTTTTTTAGTTTCTTTCTAACATGAATACTCTGGTGTTTAGTAAGAGCTGAGCTTTGACTGAAGTTTTTCCACATTCCTTGCAAGCATAGGCTTTTCACTAGTATGGATTCTCTGATGATTGTGTAGGTTGGTTTTCTTTGGGAAAGCTCCCAGCATGATATTGGCATAAACTCCCTGCCCCTAAGATTCCTCTTTTAGCTTTGGAGCTGCTCCTGTCACTTTGATGGATCCCTTATGTTGTTGTTGGTGTCTGTTGAGTTGAGGATGACTCATAGCAACTCTATTAACAACAGAATGGAACCCCATCCTAACCTGTGCCGTCATCATGGTCCCCAACACACTCAAGTTCATTGTTATTTTCACTGTATCTTTCTGTCTCATTGAGGGTTGTCGAGGGTTGTCGTCACTTTTCCAGGTCCTCAGATCCTATAATGCTCAAAGCTCAAAACCGTCATGTCTTAATAATTTAACTAAACGCTGGCTTTAAGAAGACTGGGGGAAAAAAAACTGGGGGAGATCTTAGAGAACTTGAAGTTCTCAGATGGTTACTTCTGTTAATGCATTCTTTTTAAAATTGCGTTTAGGAATTCCATATTTAAACCAGGAAGAAGAGAGACAGTTACGAGAGCAGTACGACGAAAAGCGCTTACAGTCCAGTGGTGCTGGAGCTCTGTCCTTTGTGTCTCCTAACACTTCAAAGTGCCCTCTGATGATTCCCGAGGATCAGAAGAAGTTTATTGACCAAGTCGTGTAAGTTCCTAAACTGAAGCCAAGTGTGGCGTGACTTTTACATCCCAGACTGTTAGCAGTTCCACAAACTACACGTATGGAAGGGAGCGCTGCTGACCTAATGGTAAGAAGTGGCGCTGCAGTCCCAAAGGCACATGGTTCACATCCACTAGCTGCTCCACCAGAGAAGGGTGGGCAGTCTCCTCCTATGCGATTAACGACTTCTGAAAACCCGCTGGAGAGCCAGCTATGAGCTGGTTCTGACTGAATGGCAAACAGCAATAACATACATAAGGCAGTAAGGGCTTTTGGGTGACAGGGTAGCTGTGGCTGATCTGAATCTGTGTAACAGTGATTATTTGTTGCGCATCTCTAGGCCAGAGACTCTCGGGAAGTGGGCAGATCTCTGCATGGATCAGGGGTCTGAGGGCCCTGCCCAGCTTCCCTGAAGGCAGAGGAATGAAACAGACCCATCTAGACTGTAACACAACCAAATTGGTTTTTCTCTTGCAGTAACGTTTCTTCTGACGAGCGAATGTACCACTAAATTACCTAGTCTTGCTTAGTTATCAGTATCAGTGCGTCACTAGAAAAGTTGAGCTTTCAATTAAGGCCAAATATAAAAAATCTGGAATTAAAAACAAAAAGCAGCTTTCATTGTTTATTGATATGACTGTTATGTGCTGTCAAGTTAGAACTGACTTATAGCCGGCCAGCCAGCGGGTTTTCAGAGACTGGACATTGCACAAGAGGAGATTGCCCACCTTTCTCCTGAGGGGCAGCTGGTAGATTTGAACTACTTACATTTGAGTTAACAGTGCCATACCTTACTGCCAGAGTGCTCTTAAGTACTGCTTATTTATTTTAAATCACTTATGTTGATGACCGTTTCAGCAATGGTCACTAATTAATTAACAGTGAAAATGAAAAGTTATGGATGCCAAAACTTTTTTTTAAGCTTTATAGAATTAAAAAAGTTGAGACATAATTTGGTAGAATAGTACAGTTTTGTACTTTTCTATTTAGACTGTGAATGCAGTCATTCTGTTGGCTGTGGGCTTCTTTGCATAAAAGTGCTGATGGTTCACGCTCTTCTTCTTATTCTACAGAGAGAAAATAGAAGATTTATTACAAAGTGACGAAAACACGAACTTGGACTTAGAGCCATGCACTGGGTTCGTTGCCTTGAATGGTTTCACATTTATTTGTTTTGTTTTGTTTTAAGATAGATGATGCTTTATCCTTTAAAACCTCTTTAGAAATAGTTGGTTTTTAAAAAATATTTTAGATATATTCTCAAGATTTGAGCACTAATTTAGTGTTAGCACAGTGGAGACCGAGAGGCACAAAACAAATGCTTTGTCCTGACCCCGGAGGAGAGAAAACTTAGACATCTTTTACTCCAAGTGACACCAAAGTGCTTAATTATTGTAGCCTTAAAACCTAAACTGAACACATAGCTTTTTTTTTAATTGCTTTTTAAAAAATTTATTCATTGTTGCACATTTTCCTCCCCCAAAGCCCCAGCACATTGCTTGCTTTTGACTTCTTAGCGACTCTCAAGGACAGAGTAGAACTGCACCCAGGGTTTCCATGACTAATCCTTACGGAGGCTGGACGGTCCTGTCTTTGTCCTGTGGAGTAAGCAGTGGGTTTAAATGGCTAATGTTTGGGTTAGCAGCTGAGTGAGTACCCACTGAGCTACCAAAGCTGCTTTTGTTATCCTCAAAGAGTACTTAGTCTGTGAAAGCCTCAGAAGAGAAGCGTTCCCTGCTTGCTCTTTCTTTCCCTTTATATTTCTTTGCAGTAAAAATATGTCAGTACATCTTCTCTTCCTTTGGGACAGGCTTCACGGAACTGCTTTACTGTTTCTGTGCACATCACACTTTCTTTGTGCAGTTACCGGATCAGATACTTTGATCACACATAAACTTCTACCTCTTCTGTAAAAGCAACATAATATTTTGATAAAGATACAGTTATAAAGGCTGCTCCCACCCCAGACCTCCTGCCTGTTTTTATGTTACACATTACAATCAAGTATCTTTAGGATTAAATCTCTTTCCCAGGCTGGGCTTGGTCAGCTAGGATTTTCTTAAACCCCTGCACCTCACTTACTAATTGTCATAATCTGATAGTTCCAATTTACGTCAATCCTAAAAATCTCCTATCCCTTGATAATGCTCATCAACAGTGCATATTGGGCAATGCTGAACACTGAGGGAGGTGACAGTAGTGCCAGCTGTGTCGGTTAAGGTTAGGGCTGGAATCTTCTGGGCCGTGATTCTCCGTGGTCTGGTAGTCCTGTGAGTGACCTGGCTGATTTGCAATATTGCAGTCATCCTCCGTTTTGTGACCTGATGTGTCATCTTCCTTTTTTTTTTTTTTTTGTATAATTCTGATTTCTGAATAGTGACCTGGTCTTTGGGACTTAAACATGTTGATTGAGAAGAGAAGACTAGGTTTAACGGGCTCAATCCAGTGTCTTGTCTCATGTTTTCACAGGTTCCAAAGAAAATTGATTTATCAGACTCTGAGCCGAAAGTAAGTATGTCTTTCCTTTGTGAGAGTCCCACAAGGTACTCAGGATTAAAAGACAAAACATTGCTCATGTTTCCCTTTAGCAATTCTGGGGTTCTTGGTCACCATAGTTGTTTCTTGTGCGATGTTTAAGTTTATTTCCTAGTTTTCTTGGTTGAGTAGTCCCTTAGGGTTTTGTTTTTGTTGTGGGTTTTTTTTTTTCCTTTCTATTTTTAAATGTTTTTCAAATCTAATATTTTATTGTGTTTTGGTGAAAGTTTACACAGCAGATTAGGTTCCCATTTGGCAGTTTTTATATAAACTTCTCTTCCTAAACAACAACATGCCTCCGGAAGCTCTGTGAACTTTGATTAATGCCGACAGTTACAGAAAGGCTTCAGGCCTTTTGTTCATAGAGTCGCTATGGGTCATGCTCGACTCGACAGCAGTCAACAACAGCATGATATTGGTTCTATTTTCACAATTCAGTATTCACTTGAGAGCTGGTTTGGAGGTTCTAGCAGAGGAGTGCAGTTATTCATATACCCGTGACAGAAGGACAGCCTTCCTTCTATGGGGATGGTCGTCCTCTTCGACCGAGCGGTTAGCTTCGGGAGGGACGACCGTGGATCGAGGAGGGAGGAGGAGGACACCAGCCTTGCCAGCCAGATCAGCCGAATCAACCCTGGTGATCAGTGGGGTGACGGATGTCACAGCCAGGTCACCCTCACATCAGATAATTCAGTATTCTCTTTAATTGCATTTTGTTTGTTCTGTTTTCAACACTCTAGTTTTCCTACCCCATTATCTTCATATTTTTTGTGTGTAACTATTTCTTATTTAATGGTAGGAAAGTTTTTGAAATATTTTTTTTGTTTTGTTTTTAGAAAGAATTTTTTTTTACTGTGATTTTAATGAATGTTTACAGAAAACTTGGATTTCCATTCATTCATTGTGGTACATTTTCCTCTCTACACCCATCCAGTTCACTTAAAAAAAAATAAATCATTCATTGTTGCATAATTTCCTCCCTCCCCCTCCCCCAGTCCATTCTGCTGTGCACCTCTTATTCTGGACTGACTGTTGTAATGCAAATAATGCCTAATCATAGGGTAAATAATGAAATCCTCTTTAATGATCACTTTGACCCCATCCATTAAGCTTTGACTTTGTCCCACTTTTGGTCTTTGATGGCGTGCAATTGAAATTGAGTTATTGACCAAGGAAAATGCCTACATGACTGCTGGTTCCAAGATGAGAGCTCTAAGCTCGAGATTAGAGCATGGATAGAGTATAGGAGGCCTGTGGCTCTCCTAAATAAATGGCCTGGTATTTGTGGTGGGTTTTCCTGGGGGGTTTTACCCTTGGCTTCATGTCTTCTCAGGTCGATCTCTGAGCCCCAGCTTGAATGTCAGCATTAGACAGATGCATGTTGGCATCTAGCTTTTGTTTTTCTGTTACAGTCTGCTAGTGACAAGTATACCGGGCATTTGGACGCAGTGGGAAAGGAGCCATTGTCCCCTATGCCAGGCTCCTTCCTTGTCCTGCTGTCCTCATGCCTCACTCCACGTGGGTGCCAGGTCGGACTCCTTGGCTGCTGTGAGCCAGGCTGCTAAACTCGAGCCGAGCCACCCATCTCAAACCCTGTGCATGCCACGTACCATGGTAGTGGGTCTTTAGCATTTCACCTAGTGAGAGTTGTATTGTTGGTCTGTCTAGAAGCAATTCTAGACTATACAATTCTGTCCACATAATTGCACTGTGTCATTGACTGCTTTAGGGGATACCGGGCATTTCACAAAATGCCCAAGTCCTAAAATATTAATTTGAAATCAGAAACCTTATGAGGAAATGTTGGGAAACATTTTGTACCTCAAATTTCTATTTTGGGTGGACTTCCTCTAAAGTCTTCCTTGAATAATCATTCCGTATTTTATATAGTAGTTGAATTTGAACTCTATAGTTACTTGAAAATTTAGCTTTTATTCACGTTGGCTCATCTGCTTATATCATGTTTCCTTTATTTTCTTTAGGTACCCCAAAGGCATTCATGTTGAGACGTTAGAAACGGCAAAGGTAACCCCAAGAGTCTTCCAGAGCCAATAGTAAACACTTGTACTGAGACAATGATGCGTTGAAAATCAGGGTTTAAATCTTTGCTACATATAAATATGGCTAAATGAATGTCATTTGACCCTCAGGGAGTTCTGGTGGCCTGTCTGTAAGGAACAATGCCTCTAACCCAAAGGCATGTGGTTTGAATCCACCAGCTGCTCCAGGGAAGAAAGATGGGCAGTCTCCTACCATGTGACTTATTACCTCTGAAAATTTGCTGGGGGATGAGCTGTGAGTCAGTTCTGACTCCTCAACAGTACGTAATAACGGCAATAAGGAAGACGTACAGTAAGATGGATGGACAGAGTGACTAGCAGTGGCTTGAGCATCTTCGGGATGGGGAGGGGGGTGCAGGGTAGGATGAGGTTCAGACCAGCTGTTGAGGGGGTTGCTTTGAGTCGTCATTGACTTGATGGCATTTAACAAGCAGCTGCATTCTCCTCATTTGGAGACTGAGGCGTGGCGGTGACGAAGATGATATGCTTTCACAGCTTTTTTATAGTGATCAGTGGATGGACAAAAGTGAACCTACTTTGTGTACTTGAAAGTATACAAATGCTCGTTCATGCTCTTACTGTAGCAGAAAGGTATAATAATGTGTATGAATTAAAGGGACTCATATTATGTGGCCAAGGGAGCTCTGGCGGCCGAATGGTAAGAAGCTGCGCTGCAATCCCAAAGACATGCAGTTCGAATCCACCAGCTGTTCCACAATAGAAGGATGGGCAGTCTCTTCTGGTGTGATTAACTGCCTCTGAAAACTCACTGGAGGCTCAGCCGGGGGTTGCTTGTGATTTGACGGCAAATAACGGCACAACAGTGTTATGTGACCAGGTCAAATAAAACTTTACAACATAGGTCATAAGCATAAGTATGGCTATTTGTTCCAAAGGGGCAACAATAAAGGTATGATCATTGATAAGTGGGTGATTTTGCAAACCTTGATAAAATGTAGTGGCTGCTTTGTAAGTCAGTTATAAAATTAAATAATCAATGAAATAAATTGCTAGAAGATGAATTTCAAACTTTGACATGTCAGGGCTTGTGGTATGTTTAATGTTTACAAAGGAATACATGAAAAAGCTGGTAATAGTCTATCACAGTAGACAGAGAAAATACTGATGTTGTTAAGGATTTCATTGTACTTCAGTCCATAACTAACTCCTGTGGAAGCAGAGCCAAGACATGAAATGATCTATTGCTTTGAGCCATTCTACTGCAGAATACCTCTTTAAAGTGTTAAGAAGCAAAGCTGTCACTTTGGAGATGGCGTGCTTGACTCAAGCCGCAGTATTTTCCTTTACCTCAAGTGAATGTGAAAGCTGGACAGTGAACAGAAAGGAAGACCAAAGAACTAAGGTGTTGGCTAGGAGTGTTGAATATACCGTTGACTACCATAAGTATGACTGAATTGATCTTGGAAGAAATGTGGCTAGAATACCCCTTAGAGGCAAGAATGGTGAGACTTCATTTCACATACTTTGGACATGTTATCAGGAGGGACCAGTTCTCTGCAGAAGGACATCATGCTTGGTAAAGAAGGACAGTGAACAAGAAGATCCTTAGTGAGGCAATATTGGCACCGTGATGCCCTCGGTGGGCATGCCAGAGATTGTGCTGATAGTGCAGGTTAGGGCAAGGTTCAGATGTGTTCATAGTGTCTCATGGCCTCTACTCCACTTGATGGCATCTAACAACAGCATGCAGAGTGGAGATTCTGAGGCTGGTGTAAGACCGGTGGTGCTTGCTAGGTGCCGTCAAGTTGAGTACGACTCATAGTGACCCTATGAACAAAATATCTGACCCCTCTCCTATCCTGTGCCATCCTGACACACAAGGATATGCCTCTTCTTTGTCAACCCTCTACTTTCCCAGCATCATCAAAGTATATGAGACGAGGAAGCCTCATCATTCTTGCCTGCAAAGAGCACTCTGGCTGCACCCTCTTCAGGACGTAACGGTTTGTTTTCCTGGCCGTTCGTGGGATGTTTAGTGCTCTTCTCCAACACCACAGCTCAAAGGTGTCAATTCTTTTTCTGTCATCCTTATTCATTGTCCAGCTCTCAGATGTGTAGCAAGTAATTGGAAAGACCATGGCCTGAGTCAGACACACCTTAGTCCTCAAACTGACATCAGTACTCCTCAATAATTTGGAAAGGTCCCTAACTGCAGATTTACCCAGTGCAGTGCATCTCCTTTTCTCCTGACTGCTCGTACCGAGAGTGTTAATTAACCCAGTTAACACTCTCAGTAAGACTGAACACTAGTTTATTCTGCTGTTGCTAAGGTCACTGTGAATCAGAACCAACTAGATAACACCCAACAACAACAGTTCTCAGGCAAGTTAACAGAAAACATAGGGGTTAAAAAAATATTAATATTTGTAGTTTAAAATTGGTTGCATAGAGGTTCGTTTTCAAATATAACATGCAACTTCTTGGCCCATTGCAGAAAATGTTCTCATGTTCTGTTGATACTTTAAGCTGATGTCTGTTGGGTTGGGTTGATGAAACAGTAATGGAAATGCAGTGGCGAAATTTTGATGTGGGATGGATGCATCAAGAGAATATTTGAAGCCATTTCAGAATGCTTTGAGCTGTGTTTCGCCCAGGGAGGACTATTGCCGGGATGAGAATTCTGAGTTCTCCCAGATCTAGTTGCTCAAAGAAGCTATTAGCCCTGCTCTATTTATGTCTTTCAGAAAGAGCGGTATATAGTTATCAGCAAAGTGGATGAAGAAGAACGAAAAAGAAGAGAGGAACAGAAACACGCGAAAGAACAGGTAATTGGATTATATTGGGTTCATTTAGTCAAAGAATGATGAGAGAAATACCCATTTATTCCTTTGTGTGGTTTTGGTCCAGATCTTGATTATATGTTGAATTTGGTCTAATGAATAGCTGTTGGCCATAGAGGGACCAAAATGATAGGAAAGCCTAGAATAAAGTGAGGGCCGGTTCAAATGAAGCATAAAGATATAGCTTCCAAAGTGCTTGACTAATCTTTATTTCTATCAAGCAGTCTTGGAGAAGATAATGTTGATTATTGTTTGGGGTATGTGTTAATTGAGTTTCATTGCTTGTTAACTAATGTCGCTGTGTTTTGCTTTGATGTTGTGTGCTGTCTGATGTTGTGTGCCGTTGACTCATAGCTGACCCTGCCTGTGGATTTTGAGGGCATGTAAATTGCATGGGAGGAGACTGCCCATTGGTGGATTCGAGCTACCTCCTGTCTTTGGGTTGACAGCTCAGTTCTATACCATTAGGCCTCCTGAGCTCCACATGTCTACTTTTAGCTACTGTTTTATTAATTCTTTTAAAACAAAGTTTAGACCATGTGATCTGATAGAGAAGAATGGTATGGCCAGATTTGCATGGTTAGAACCTCACCTTGGTTGCTTGGGGAGAATGGATTTGAGTGGGTACAGAGGAAGTTGGGAGACCAGTTGAGTGCCCTATAGTTGGTGGCCTGAAGTAGGCTGGTGGCAGCATAGATGGAATTTGGAGATAGAAGGTAGAGTCCGTGGGATTTGTGATGGGATACTTGCATCCACAGTCAACACCCATTGTAGCAGCAGATAAGAAATCAAAAGACGTGTTGCATTGAAGAAATCTGCTGTCAGGGGCCTCTCCAAAGCAGTACTATAAAGAACAAGGATAGCACTTGAGAAGACTAAGCAGTCTTGGGCCTGATGCAAGCCGTGGTCTTCGTATTTATTTCCTATTTAGACAGTGAATAAGAACGACTGAAGAGGAATCCATATCTTTGAATTCTGATCTTGGAAAAGCGTGTTGACTAAATGACTGTCAAAAAAATAAACAAGTCCGTTTGGAGGAAGCAACCAGGTTGCTGCTTAGAGGCAAAATGGTGGAACGTCATCTCCTTTGCTTTGTCCACATCAGGAGGCTCTAGTCCTTGAAAAAAGACATCATGCTGGGAAAATTGAGGGTCAGGGAAAGACAGCAGGATAGGACGAGGCTCAGACCTGTTCCTCATAGTGTTGCTGTGAGTTGTAGTTGAATGGATGGCCCCCAATAAAAACATAGGTGTGGAAGGACAGCAAGGGAGAAGAAGGTAGATTCTCAAGTCAAACATTTGATTGACCAGCAGGATGTATTGCAGTTCACTGAGACGGAGAGGCCTGGAGTGAGGTTGGGTGGTCCCGGAAGACGCACAGGAGCGGGAGAGGGTGTGGGTGAGGGTTAAATTCATACGTATGAGACCGGCCAACGCCAAGGTGGACGAATTCAGTCAGTAAAGCGACAATAAGCCCCTTTTGAATTTAGACAATTCATACTTAAAGAAAAGAGATTAACCACAAGTGTCACTTCCCTGTGGTACTTGTCTCACATGCAAAGAGAGAAAAGGGGTCAAGAACAAAACACAAGAGGCGGGATGACTGCAGTATGAGTTGTGGGGTGACCCGTGGGAGGAGCCAGATCTAGAGCTGTTCTGCACGAGCTGGGGCAGCAAACACCGTACCTCACCAGACCTTGGGAAGCGATGAACTCTTTGGTGACAGCCCCTGTGAGACAGCAAGGGAGAGATGGCCTCTTGGCAGCTCCACTACTCCCATGTCTTCCTCAGCTCAGATGTGGTTGAGCCGCCTTTCAAGCCTGTGCAGCTGAGTCCATCTGTACCTGCTGGGTGGCCAGGGCACCGTGGTGGGCGGTTCCCTTATGGTGGAGAGAGATGTTAAGGGTCTGATTTTGACCAAATAACTTTAGATGTCTGGGAGCTTCAGAAGATCCCTGGCAGCATCGTGGGTTATGTGTTGGGCTGTTAACAGATGGGTTGGCAGTTCTAATCTACCACCTGCTCTTTGGGAAAAATATGAGATGTTTCCTTCTGGTTGAGAATTTACAGCCTTGGAAGACCAATGGAGGGTTGCCCTGAGTCAGAATCATCTCAGCAATGATGGGTTTGGTTTTGGGTGGCCATCCAAGAGTAGACGTCCTGTTAGCAGTTAGATTTCCCCATCGTGAGCACCAGAGGGGAGTGAGATCATACATACTTGTCATACATACGCAGAGGAGCCTGGACTTGGTTAGATCATCTGGAGTTTGTGAACAGTGAGAACAGACACTGGCAAGGGGTCGTGCAGGCCACCAACATGTCAGTCAGGAGCAAGGAGGAGGGTCTGAAAGGAGACTGGTGAGAGAGGCAGGGAATGAGACATGTTCACTGGATGTTGTTGTTGTTGTTATGTGCTGTTGAGTTGGAGTTTTGTCAGGCATTTTAGCCCCTAAGAGACAAGAGCAGAGGCAGTCATTGGATGGGTTTTAAATTTAAGGAAGGACATGTAAGATAGGAGGACTTTCTGGAGGCATAGTCTGTAGGGTGTGGCACTGCTAAACTAAAAGGCCATGTCTTTCATGGTTCAGATCCACAGCTGCTCCATGGCAGACAGATGGACAGCCTCTTCCTGCCCCAGAAACCTGTGGAAGCTTGTGATGAGGCAAAACTCACTTGAAGGCAGCATGTTTCAAGATAGGAGAGACAAGTGAACCTATCTAAACATTGTTAAGGAAATGAGAGAAGAGAACATGTGGGAGGAGGTGTCTCAGAGCCCTGTGCTATTTTAAAAAGAAAAGTCTAAAATGCATGTTGGAGGCAAGGATTCTGAGGCTTTGTCTGACATACTTTGGTCAGGTCACAAGGAGGGACCAGTCCTTGGAGAGGGACATCCTGCTTGTGAGGGTGGAGGCACAGCGCTGGAGGGGAAAACCCTAGACGAGTTGCATTGACTCAGTAACTGGGGTAAGGGGGGGGGTAGGTGTTTCAGAGGCAGTAAGGTTAGCCTAGGATAGAACAGGTTCGGAACTGTTGTACAGAAGGTCACAGTGAAACGCAGGCGACTCGATGGCACATAACAAAAGCAACAACAAGCAAAATGCATTTTGTCAAGGGGAAAAAAAAATCAAGAAGCAGGAGAGGATTTGATTTCATCAGTGGAATAACTCAAGGGTTATTTGATCCACTACTGAATTTGGCCAGCAGGTGGCGGCTTTTAAAAGTCCGTTTTAAAGCCGTTTCGTTTTGGGAATTCCAACACATGATATGAATTGAAGGGTGAACCTCAGGCTCTTTTATTTCAGTAACTGATGACTTATTTGCTACTTCCTTATTCTACTTCCTAAACAAAAGAAAAGCATGTAGGGAGGTGATTTTGAAGTAGCTGTTTGAGAGTTGGTGAATGTGGAACACTCAAAACAAAATAAAGCTCCTTTGTAAAACGTTAGTGCTTTTTTGGTGTTCTTTTCTTTGGGCTAAGTGTTCCTACAGATAAGTCAACAGCATTTCTTTTTTTCTTTTAATTAGGAGGAACTGAACGACGCAGTGGGATTTTCTAGAGTCATTCACGCTATTGCTAATTCAGTAAGTAAGCAGAGTTCTTCTTTTTAGCTAAACCCTGAACATAATATATAAAGTGAAACACCTCAGTATCATCACATATTCATAGATTGCTCATGTTTAGGACAGTCGTCTGGTTTGGAGGAACAAGTTAGAACTTCCCAGAACTCGCTGTTCATCACAATGCACTTGCCAGATTTAGGTCCAAACTGTTTGTACTTTTTGATAAAGTGCATAGACTGTTAACGACAGTTAAACCAGTGAATGCCAGAGCATCTGTAATGCAGAAACCTGTTAGAGAAAGAAAATGCACCTATTCTTTCACAAATAGAAGTTGAGACAATTCATTTCTAAGAGAGACAGTTCTTTTCTGTGCTATATGATGGCTCTGAGTTGGAATGGACTTGATGACAGTGGGTTGTAGGGTTTTTGTTTGGTTTAAAGAATACTTAAGGAGATATATTTGGTTTACGATTTCAAGGTGATCTCAGAGGGAGCTCTGGTGACCTAGTGGCAAAGAAGCTACACTGCAATCCCAAAGGTGCACAGCTTGAATCCGCCAGATCCGATTTGACAGTACACAACAAGGGGGAAAAAAGGTTACCTCAGGGTCAATAGTTTCAGGGGTTCATCCAACCTCCAGGGCTCTAGAAAGTCTGAAGTTGATGGGAATTTGAAATTCTGTTTTACAATTCCCCTCTTTTTATCTAAAGTCTTCCATAGCATTGGGGATCAAAGTATGTGATTAATAGTAGCCAGACATCACAGTTTTTTCTGGACTCATGGCAAAAGAGGCAGTTGTTCATAAGGGCAGTTAGTCACACATTCTATTTCCTCCTCTTGCTCTTCATTGAGGAGATTGTCAGGCCACAGAGACTCTCTTACAAAGAGTTCCACAGCTATTTTACTGGTAGACACAGGCCTGCAAAGACAGGGTGTATCAGATGAGGCATACCTTTGTTCTTGGGTTTGTTGTTTTTTTTTTTCTGTTATTTTTTTACCTCTGTTCTTGTTTGGGGATAAGTAGATGTTATAGGCCAGAGCTTGTGTAGAACGAGGGGGGTAACCAGGAACTCTTTGTCTCTGTGAGATAAGCAGAGTGCAGTCAACCAATGTGATCTAGAGAGAAGCACTGGTGTGCGTCTCCAGATGTGACAGGTGATACCAGGTAACAGGAAGAACAGAGATGAACTTCAGGTTCCACTGGCTCACATTATACCCGCTTAGCCAGTAGACTTTAGATTAAGTGGTTTGCTCCACTGACATTGGTCCTGAAATACAGAGATGTAGACACGGCGGGCTCTCAGTTCTCCTGTAGCCATCACCCCAGCCTGGGCTGCTTTTCCACGATTGGGATTGACTTATTCAAATACCTTAAGTTTCCTTCCTTCCTATCATTTTTCTTCCACAGAATAATTTGTTGTAATTAAAAATACACAGCAGTCTATGAAAAGAAAACTATATATTCATGATTTAGACCCTTAAAACTCAAAAGTTGCACACTTAAAAAAATATGAGTAAACTCTGTAAATGTAGTGAACAGTGAGTACTTTTAAACATATGTTTTTTGCTGTCATATCTGCTTCAAAGCATCAACCCATTGCCATCAAGTCAGTTCCAACTTTCAGCAACACTTCAGTGCAGAATGGAACTGCCCCATAGGGTTTCAAGGCTGTATATCTTTTTAGAAGCCGACTGCCACATCTTCCTCCTAGGAGCAGGTGATGGATTTGAACTATGGAGCTCTTGGTTAGTAGCCAGGACTTAACCACTGTATTACCAGGGCTCCTTTTTCCAGCTCATGTTGTTGTCATGGGGCATTAAGTTGACCGCAATTCATAGTGACCCTGTGAACAATGTCTCTGAACCCTGTGCTGTCCTGTGCCATCTTCAGCATCTCTGACACACTTGAGCCCATTGTTACAGTCACGGTGTCAGTCCATCTCGTTGAGGGTCTTCCTTTCTCATGCTGACCCCTCCACCTTTTCCAGCTCGATGCCCCTCTGTTGTTGTTGGTCTGTCTCAGTAAGTAGGAACCAACTCATAGAGACAGTGAATCGCATAGGAGGAGATTGCCTATCCTTCTCCCATGGAGCAGCTGGTGGATTAGAATTGTGTGCCTTGCAGCGCAGCTTCTTACCGCTCAATTCATACAGAGTCTGTGTTATGGACTAGACCCGTCCCATAGAGTTTCCCTAGGCTGTAGTCTTCATGGACATAGCTGGTTAGGACTTACTTCCCTGAAGTCACTGGTGGTTTTGGCTTGCCCAACTTTTACTTGGACAATGAATAAGAATGACAGAAGAAGAATTGATAGCTCTGAGTTGTGTGGAGAAGGGTACTGAATATCCCATGGGCTGTCAAAAGAACAAACAACAGTTCCCTCTATCTGACAGGGTTACTATGAGTTGGAATGGATTCAACAGCGGGTTTGCTTTAAGGTTTATACCCGTTGCTGAAAGATGGGCAGTGTGATTAATTGCCTCTGAAAACCCACTGGAGGGTCAGCTATGGGTCAGTTCCTTCTCTATGAAACACAATAACAATACCTATTGCAAATACATATTTGTATTTATAATGGTTTCCTGGAAGTATAGTGTTTAACATGCTAGACTGCCAGCTGAAAGGCCAGTAGTTCAAATCCAGTAGCCAAATTTTGTTGGATGGATGGTTTTGTGTCTTGTCGAGTTGTACCATAGCTGACCCTCCGGTGGGTTTTCAGAGGCAGTTAATTGCAAGGGAGGAGATTGCCCATCTTTCTTCAAAGGTGCAGCTGGTGGCCTCGAACCATGTGCCTTTGGGGTTGCAGCTCAGCTTCTTGCCATATAGGAGAGGAAAATTCATTCTGTTAATATGATTATTATTGATTGTAAGTATAGGTTATTTTTATGTTTTAGTACAGCAGTGAATGTGTCTCTTACAAATAAGTCCGTTGGTTTTGGGGTTTTTTTTAAAGTCTATTGTCTTAAGAAAACAGCTCTAAAAACATGCAGTGAGATTTTTTTACAAATTACTTTGACAGTTCATAACACTCAGAATTCAATTTTTTTAAAAAAAATATTTTATATTGTTTTGCTTACAAAGTTCATGGACATTTGAATTTCACATTGTGTTTCCTTACAATCAATCCCATGTATTATGTTTTATAAAATTAATCACCATAGAAGTATCAGCAATCGAGCTTTTAAGTCTGTTAGATTCTTTTTTATATTTTTAGTTCTTTGTGGTTTATTTTGAGTAGTTCTGATTCTTAAAGAGGGCAGAATGAGTAACAATCATTTGGAGATTTCATGTTGGCATTTTGGTTTTCATACCTTAAATGGAAAAGGAATGAAGGCAGCTCAAATGTATTTATTTATATATAGTTGTAGTTATTTATTTTATTTATTTTTTTAAAAAATCTGGGCCAGTCGTGGGATGTGAAGCATACATTTTCTTTCTCAGCCCCCCGGATACTTTTGCACCCAGAAGTCTTTTTGCTAACGTTGACTTTCTCTAGGGAAAACTGGTCATTGGTCACAATATGCTCTTGGATGTCATGCACACGATTAACCAGTTCTACTGCCCGCTGCCTGCGGTAAGTGCCTTCTCAGCCTGCCTTCAATACCGGGGATGCCTTTTTTACAAAAGGAGCGTTCTCTGCTCGAATGAGGCGTGTCTCAGAGCGAAGCTTAGGCCTCTAGCTGTGCTATTTTGAGGAGAAAGACATACAGGCCGTTTCAAGGTTCTTGGGTCATCCACCGTGGCCAGTGGTCTGCCCAGTTAGTCTTGGACAGATGGTCCCAAGGCCACAGGTGTGGTCTTCCAGTTTGGCCCTGCTAAAATTAGACACAGCAGGGCCATTGAAGGTGAGTGGTATTTTAGGCCAAGTGGGCTGGCTCACGTCCCGCAGAATTCCTGGTGCTTACCTCCTGCGTGGTGGCCTCGCTTTCATTCTTTGGCGACCACACTACTGTTTTCACACCCTGAGGTCAGGTTTTCTCAGTGCAGCATAAGGCAGCTGCCCAGAGAAGAGCTTCCATCTGGCTCCCCCTCGCTGGGACCATGGCCTACTCACCCCTGCACCCCACCATTCCGCCCCCTGCCCGTCCTTTTTCTCTCTCCTTTCTTTTCTCTCCCTTAGCAATCTGACCCCTTTTTATAACTTCGAGTGTAGAAACAGCGCCTTTAACTGCAGCTGTGGCCTCTTCCATGTCCACATTTCTCTGGACTCTAAACATCTCCATCAGTTTAGAAGGGTTGTAACAGTTTACACGTCTCACCTAAGGCATCTTGTTTACACTCTCTCCTCTCCTTGTTAGGGAGTTCTGGGCACTTAGCGGTAAGAAGTTGTACTGCTGACCCAAAGACAACTTGAACTTGCATATGAACAGTTGATGGTCTGTTCCACAGTCAGCCCCTGGCCTTGTTCTGACTGGTGATAATTGAGCCTTTCTGTTGTCTCTTTCCACCAAGATAGTTAGTTTGACCTGTCTGTCAAAGCCCACCATTTATATATATTTTTTAACGTGTTTACAATGAATAAGTCATTGGTCTTGCAAAATTCAGTCATGCGATTTCACTGTCATTTCTATAACCAGGGCTCTATTTTCCAACTATTTTCTTCTCTGTTCTCATTTTCCACAATTCTAATTACCAGTAATTATCAATGCATCTTGATTGCATGTTGGTAAATATCTTTAATTTCTTCATCTTTGGTATTAGTGATTTTTGCATAAATTTGAATAACAAATAGTCCTATTTACTGATCTTCCTTGTAGGCATGTGGATGTTATCTTTTACTGACAGCGGTGTCCTTCAGGAGAGCTCTTGAAATGTTCTTTTTGATGAATAATGTAACACCATTCCGCTTCAGTTTGTCATTCCTGGCATAGGAGACTGTTTGATTCAGAATGGCTAATACCAACCCATTTCAACTCTAATGCATGGCATAACTCTCTTTCTGTGTTTCATTTTTATTTTTGACAACTTCCAATTTTCCTACATTCACAATTCTTCCATTCCACTTTGCAGTTAATAATGGACACTTGCAGCTGTGCCTTCTCTCATTCTGAGTCATGCCACATCAGCAAATGATGGTCCCCAAAGCTTCACCCCATCCATGCCATTAAGGTAGCTCTACCTTGAGCAAATATATACTGGGCAAACTATTCAAGATGTTAGACTCTATGAAGAAGAATGTGGCATCAGGATTTGAGGAATTAATAATCTCAGTTATGCAGATGACACAACATTGCTTGCTGAAAATGAGAAGGACTTGAAGCACTTGCTGCACAAGGTCAAACACTGTAGCCTTCAATATAGATTGCCTCTCAATGTCAAGGAAACAAAAATTCTCACCACTGAACTGAGAGGCAAAATCATGATAGATGGAGAAAAAAAGATTAAAACTGTCAATGAATTAATCTTAACTTGGATCCATAGTCAGTACACTTGATAATAGCGATCAGGAGACATATTTTACTGAGAAAGTCTACAGTCAGGGACCTCTCCAAATTGCTGAGGAGCAATGATGTCAGTTTGAGAACTAAGGTGCACCTGATTCAGGCCATGATTTTCTCAATCACTTGCTATGCATCTGAGAGCTGGACAGTAAATAAGGATGACAGAAGAAGAATTGATGCCTTTGAGCTGTGGCGTCAGAGAAGGGGACAGAATATCCCATGGACTGCCAAAAGAGTAAACAGGTATGTCCTGGAGGAAGTGCAGCCAGTCAGAGTGCTTCTTGGAGGCAAAGGTGATAAAGTTTCATCTTAAATACTTTGGTCATGTTGCTAGGAGAGTTAATTCCCTGGAGAGGGACATCATGCCTTGGAAAGATGGGGATGATGAAGGAGAAAAAGACCCTCGACCAGGTGGATTGACACAGTGACGGCAGCAATAGGTGGAATTATATCAGAAATTGTGAGGATGGCACAGCGTGGAACCAGGTTTAGATCCCTTCTTTATAGATTTGCAGTGAGTTGTACGTGACTCACAGCACCTAACAACAAAAACTACAATGAGGAGGCATCTCTTCTCCAAGATATTTTCAGTGTTTACCAACCTAATGGACTCGTCTCCTGGCCCTATTATCAGCCAGTGGTCTGTTGCCACTTATAATTCAGTACTTTTTGGAAGTACATCTCCAGCTCCTGCGCCGTTCTGTATCCTTGTTTGAATTTCCTGCTGAAACCTGTTTATCAGAGTGACCTTGCGATGGGTGACCTTGCTCTTGTGATACTAACGACCTAGCTTCCAGCATCCCAGCAACATGGCAAGCCACTTCAGTACAAGTTGATAGACCAGTGATGGGAAAAGTACACAAAGTAGTTCATATTACAGAGCTGCTTTATGGGGGAAAGCCTCAACCTAGAATCTTCTTGGTGATTCCATGTGACCTTTTAGAAGACACTGAACTCAGAAACATGCAAGTCCTGGAAGTCACTGTATTTCTGACTTTTTTCCTTGTTGTTTACCATCAAATAAGATTTGACTGGCACAGAAGGAGGTTTCCCCTTCTCCAGCGGAGCATCTGGTGGATTTGAACTGCAAGCCTTCGAGATTGCAGCGCAGCTTCTTGCCACTAGGCCACCAGAGCTCCCTCTGACTTTCTCTTGCTTAAAGAGATTTTGAATGGCATATAGATCTTAAACAGTTGTCACTTCATTTTGATTAACTTAGCTTCAGAATGCCTTGCCCATGCATTGTCCATTAATTTAACGATAGCCATTCAGAAGCTTGTAAGATTTGCAAATGAGCGAAGTTCGGTATTTACAGGTTTGCAGAGCTAATTGGAAATGGCGGTTTCCTATGAAGCATGAATAATGTCGAGGAGAAATTTAGTTACAAAGGGTCAGGAGTATGAGTGTTCAACCTAGCATGGCAATTATGTATGTAAATGAGCTCATTAAAAAATTAGAGCCCTCTCATTTCAGCCCTAGACTTCTTGATCAGAATGAACTCGGGAAATGAATTGTCTCATTTGGCCACTTGCCATTAGTGCCAGGTTAGCAATTTTCTGAGTCATTAAAGCAGGAATCGTGTGTTTTGGAAGATCTGTGGTTTATTGGCTACAGTAACTTAATGTTTCAAAGGTCCTCCAGGTATTTGACTGTACAGGTAACATAACTTAGTTTGTTGCACATCCATCTCCTATTTAAATAATTTCATTTAAATGACTCTGCAAGGCTCACTGTTACAATTTATTTGTGTGACAAAACACAACCTGTTACCTGTTTGTGCACTTTTTTGACTGCATTAGAAACTCCTCAAAAACAGAGCCGTCTCTGCAGCAGAAACCTATGTTTCGCTCTTAAATTGTTGTTGGGAATCCCTGAAGTTGTAGTGATTGAACACTTTCTTGCTAACCAAAAAGTGGGTGATTTGAACTCACCAGCTGCTGATGGCAGCCTGCTTCTGGAAAGAGTGTAGCTTTATGACGCTGTGGGGGCACTTCCACTCTATAAAGGAACTTACCCATAGTGGTCTTTCTATGTTGTGAGGTGTCGTTGGTTCTCAACTCAGAGCAGCCCTGCTTATAACAGAATGAAACCCTGCCTAGCCATGTGCTATCCTCAGAGTTCTTGTATATATTTAATGAGCTCATTTTTGTAGCCATGGCCTCAGTCCATCTTATTGAGGCTCTTCCTCTCTTGTGGTTGGTAAGTGCCATCAAGTCATCCGTAACCCACAATGAACCTGTGAACAGATCGGAGCTCTGCTCTGTGCTGCTCAGTCTCCATTGTGGTTGTCACTGTGTCAATGTGTCTTAGAGGCTTCCTTTCCTTCATTGACCCTCTGCCTTTCCCAGCACGATGTCTCTCTCTAAAGATTGGTTCCTCCTGCAAATGAGCCCAAAGTAAGTGACCCAAAGTTTTACCATCCTGGCCTGTAAGGTCCACTCTGGTTGCACTTCCTTCAAGACAGATTCGTTTGTTCTTTTGGCAGTCTGTGGGACATTCACTACTTTCTGCAAACACCACCACTCAAAGGCATTATTTCTTTGTCTGTCTTTCTTAATCACTGTCCAACTTTCAGAAACACAGGAAGCAATTGAAAATACTAAGGCTTGGATGAGGCACATCCTAGTTTTTGAATTGACATCCTTTTCCTTTAGAACTTTGGAAAGATTCCTTAACAGCAGATTTCCCCAATGCAAAACTTGGCTTTTGATTTCTTGACTGCTGCCACCAAGGGTGTTGATCTAAGTACAGTGGAATGGTTGACAACTTCAATCTTTTCTCCATCTCTTGTGATGTCACCTATTGGTCCAGTTGTGAAGATTTCTGTTTTCTTGATATTGAGATAGAATCCATATTGAAGGCTGTAGTCTTTGGTCTTCTTCAGTAAGTGCTTCAAGTCTTCTTCACTTTCTGCAAACAAAGTTGTATCATCTGCATAACACAGGTTGTTGATGAGTCTTCCTCCAATACTGATGTCACATTTTTTTCATATAGTCCAGCTCTCAAATGATTTCTTTAGCATTCAGACTGAACAGATATGGAGAAAGGATACAGCCCTGCCACACATCCTTCTTGGTTTTGAACCATGCATTGTTCCCTTCTTCTGACTGGACACCTGCTTCTTGGTCTATGTATAGGTTTATATGAGCACAATTAAGTGTTCTCAGAATCTCATTCTTTTCAGTGTTAGCCATAATTTAGGATTTTATTTTGCTTATTATTTGTTTATTCATTATGGCTCCAGGAACTTTTTCCTCCTAATAACATTCCAAAATACGTGAGATCCATTCTTACCACCCTCCCTTCAGAGGAGCACCCTGGATTAACTTCTTCATTGCTATATCAACCATGGGCTATAAAGATATTGATTATCAGGTCATATGGCTCCCAATCAGTAGGTAAATTGGTCAGATTTTTAGAAGTCAGTATTAATGTAAAATGGTTACACAGTTACCTTAAAAGGCCATTGTGACTCTCTGACCAAGGACCCACCAGCATGGGTCACGTTTGCAACAAAACCATGAAGAAGGTGGCCCAGGTCATCATTGAGAAATACTGCACACACCTGGGCAATGACTCCCACACCAGCAAGTGCATGTGTGAGCAGATCGCCATTATTCCCAGCGAGAAGCCCAGAACATGACAGCAGACCGTGCCACACATCTGATGAAGCAGATTCCGAGAGGGCCTGTGAGAGGCATCGCTATTAAGCTGCAGGAGGAGAGGAGAGAAAGGAGAAAGAATTACGTACCAGAGGCTTCAGCCCTGGATCAGGAGATCATTGAAGCAGATCCTGATACTAAGGAAATGCTGAAGCTCTTGGACTTGGGTGGTCTTTCCAACCTACAGGTCGCTCAGCCCACAAGTCGGGATGAGTTTCAAATCACCACATGGAGCCGTTTGAGTCTGTCTGCTGTGCTGTCATATTTTCAAGAAACTTGGACACACACACACACACACACACACCCATACCCCACCCCCAGTGTGAGGTAGCCCAGTGTGTGAAGAGAGCTGTGGGACCTGAGCTGTCCGTATGGTTTTGTTTCCCTTGCCTCCTGATGATGCAATTATTAGAGAAGCAGCAGGTGACAATTCAGGTTAGAAACAGGATGCAGTTTCTCCTTCAGGACTGTTTCTCAGGCCTGCTTACAGGCTCTCCGACCTTGAGCTCTGCTGGGCCCTGCCTCTTGGCTCTGGCCAGTGCTCCAAAGCTCCTTTAGTATTCCTGGTTATGATGCCCGTCGCCAGCCCCATCCAGCAGTGAGCCGAGCCAAAAGCCCTCGGCTCTGGCTCTGTGGGGCGGCTGTTCTCATTCAGCGTCGTCTCACACCAGCCTCTAGTTCTCCAGCACCTCTGCTGCTGCTGATCTGAATTTCCCTCTCACACGGGAATCTGTGACCCAAATGGACAAGCTGCACTCTCTGATTTTTCTTTCTTGTTAATAGAGTCCCCTGTCTGTGCCTGTTTCTGATAGTGAATTAAACATAACCTTCTAACAAGTCATGCTTCTGTGATTTTAGGATTTAAATGAATTTAAGGAGATGACAACGTGTGTCTTCCCCAGGTAAGCTACTTTGACAATTCTGGCTTTCATTCCAACAGTCATTATGGCTTATGTAAGACAGATAGGGGTATAGAGCTTTATTAAAATTCTTAGATCTTGGAGAAAATCATAGAAGCTGAGAAATAGTTTAGAAGCTCCAACTTTGTGAAAGTTTGGTGTGTGGTGGGTGTTTTGGTTTTTTTTTTTTTCTTCTTTAGGGTTGGTTTTATGATTCCTTTTAAAAAAAAAGAACTTCAGCCAAGAATGAAAGTAGTTAGTGACTCCTTTTCTTTCTCCCAGTTCTTGTTGTCTGATGACCTGGTGAGCTTCCTCGAGAACTGGCACCCGTCTTGCTTGTATATGGGATGCACCTTGTGAACTGAGAATACTCTCTAGTCAGTCAAGAGCTGTCTTCTTGGAGGTGTTACTCTCATTTTTAAAGTGATTGCTTTTATGCGTTAGTGTTTTCCACAATTAAGATTGCGTGGTACTTCTCAAAAGTTCAGGTCACATGTGCCAATCATAGGACACCAGGAGCACAAGGCTTTGCATTCACGGGCCCAGCTGAGGACAGACCTGGTCATGGAGCAGTTGCTCCTTCAACTCAACTGTTTCTATCTTAGTAACAGTGAAAAGAATCAGTTTTCACACTCTTCTTTAGTTTTTAGTTTTTAGTCTGTCTGAGATCTGAAACAGGACACTGAGACGTAACAACAGCATGATGGTACAGAATGCAGTTTTTTTTTAATCCCATCTAAGAGTTTATACTGTACTAACCTGAATAAGATACACAGGGAACTCTGGGGGTGTAGTCTGTAGGGAATTACACTGAGAGGCCCAAACAGTGTCTCTCTGGTGTCAATCCACCAGTCGCTCCATGAGAGTAAGATGGACAGTCTCCTCTTGTGCAGTTTACAGCCTTAGAAGCCCATGGAAGGTCAGCTAAGAGTTGGACCCGACACAGCAGCAATGAATAAGAAACCTTGGTAGCAGCAGGAGGTAGTAATAATAGTTTGAAAATGTTAGACCTGTCACGGGACGCGAAGCATGTGCAAACAAACACTTTGAGGGTGTTTGACTTGCTCTCGAGATTGATGGACCCTTGTCCCTTCAGACTCCAGGCAGTCTCGAACTTATACTCAGTGTGGTCTTGGTCTGGTCTCCTGAAGCCACCTGATGGGGTCCCCGGTGACAGGACTGAGCCCCCAGCCCGCTGCGCCAGGAATGCTGGTGCTCGGTTCAGAATGGCTAATGCGCTTTCTTCCCCTGTCCACTTTCCAGACAATAGGCTATTCATTGGAGGAAAAGACATCTTGGGAGTATGCATTTTGTTTATCTTATTAAAAATTCTTTTGGTTTTAGACTCTTGGATACTAAATTGATGGCCAGCACACAACCTTTTAAGGTATTATTTAAATTTGAACTGTCACTGATAAGCTACATTTTAAACTTTTCTGAGTCAATACTTTGGAATTCTAGTCTGTTTAAATGTCACTTCAAATAAATTTAAGAGAAAGACATTGAAAAATAAAATAAAAGACCAGAAAATGAGTGTGTGACTCAAATGTGAATAGTGGTTGTCTTTGAGTAGTGTAAATACTTCCCCCCCTTTATTCTTTTGATGTAAATTTGTATCATTAAAATACTAAAGCAAACCTGACTTTTTTTGAGTAGACTGTACATACACATAGTTCTTTTATTTTTAAAAAAGTAGTTTGGATATATTTTTCTAATTAGAAGAAAACAGGCATTCATTTGCTAGGTTTGTGTAATGACTGTATAAGTGAAATGATATGAATATCAAAACAGAACAGCTTTCTGAAAAAAGGTCTATAGATATTTCCATATCTGTACAAAACCTTCTTTTATTGCCACTGTCCTTCCTATATTGTGAAAATGAAACTTCCTGCTTTGCTCTGACATTTAATAAGCAGGGACTACCATGTTTCTTTAAAGAACACAAAAGACAGTACTAGGCACATTTTTACCCTGACATTCAGTGAATTTCTAATAATGCACGCTTGTACCAAGATGTGACGATCCATCATTCTCTACTTTCCTGGTTTGCAGGACATCATTAACAACACATCCCTGGCAGAATTGGAAAAGCGGTTAAAAGATACACCTTTCAACCCTCCTAAAGTTGGTAAGGCAATCTTCATAATACCCAATCGCTGTGATGATTGCTATTGTATTTTGTGTAGTTATGGTCAGACGGCACTAAAGACTATGTTGCACATTAGTAGATTTTAGCTAAGATACGTAAGCATTGAATTGATGTGTTCTTACGGTCTTCCAGTTGCAATTCCATTTTATATTAATACTGTTTCTTTGAGAAATTTAGGAGTGAAAGCTTCCAAATGTTTGCTTTCAGTGCTTGAAATTCTTTCACACTTTGTGTCCTTGTTTCCTTTCATTAAGATGCTTTGTTTAAGGACAAAAAAAAAGGATTGCTGATTAGTTGCCAGGGGAGGATGAAAACATTGTGTCTTGGTGAAGTCTTAAGAACTGAGTTCACAGATGAAAAGAAGGGACACCCCCTCCTTTCCCCAGGAAACTGGTTCAGGAGCAGAAATAGCAAGAGGAGGAAGAAAAGCTAGAAGTGGGAAGAAATGTTTCTTGGAAAGAATGGCATCATTTTCTGTGATACCTGGCCAGAGCCCATATCCAGATAGGGCCAAGCTTTCCAGACACTGCTTCCTTGATCCACTGGAGTTTAATGATGCTGTGGCCTAGTGGTAAGAAGCTGCATGAAATCACGAAAGCACTTGGTTCAAATCTACCAGCTGCTCTGCAGGAGAAGGATGGGCAGTCTCCTCCGATGCGATTAAACTGCCTCTGAAAACCAACCCCCTGGAGGGTCAGCAATGGTGGGTTCCAACTCAACAGCACAGACAACAAAATTAACTCCCTCATGAAATTGACGGCTCTTTACTGGTACTGCTGGTCCTGTGATAAGCATTGCAATGGCTATACAGGGAAAACTTGAGACATTGATAGTAACCCTAGTATTTCAGAAATTAACAATGGGAAATATTGAAGCAGCCAAAATGATGGTTAATTGCTTCTCTCTTGGATTAGTATTTATTTCAAGACACAAGAATTAAGATAGAGAAAGAAAACCAGTATTAAAAAAAGTAAGTGGCAACCACTAAAGAAGGCTGTATGGTGCTTTCTCATAAAGTTGCAAATAGAGATACCATTTGACCCAGCAATTCCACTACTGGGAATTTACCTTAAAGAAACCATAACTGCCACCCAAGCAGATATATGCACACTCATGTTTATTGTGACTTTGTTCGCAGTAGTAAAGAGCTTGAAACAACCTAAGTGCCCATCAGCAAACGAATGGATAGAGAAGCTGTGGTATAGTCACACAATGGAATACTACGCTGCATTGAAACACAAGGAACTCATAAAATTTTATGCAAAATGGATGACCCTGGAGGACATTATGTTCAGTGAAATATCTCGGTCACAGAAGGACAAATATTGCGTAGGGCCACTGTTGTAAAACAGGACTGACATCAGTGTTGAGGGAAGACAGAAAAGGAATGATGTCTATTGCATTGAAACGGATGAGGGAGAGAACTGTTTAAAAGGGATATATGAATGGGTATTCTGGTCATTACGAAGTCCAGAGTGAAGGCTGCACTTGGGGGAGGGATTGCATAACAATGAAAGAGGTTTTCTTTCTTTACAAAGAGAAGAGTGAATGGGGGGAAGGGGTGGGCAGGGAGAAAAGTGCAACAATGAATGACTGGAAACCCTAAGTCTCTGTAAACTTTCATTAAAATTCATTTAAAAAATTGAAAAAAAGTAAGTGGAAAGAATTTATTTTGGAAAATGGTCAAACTCAAAATCATTGATACTAAGTCAACCCTGACTCATAGCTGACCTTGTGTTGGGTTTCTGAGGCCATAAATCGGTTGGGAGGAGATCGCCCATCCTTCTGAAGAGCCAGCCCTAGGGGATTAGAACTGCTGGATTCGAACCTTGAACCTTTGGGTTAGCAGCTTGGGTTAGCCTCCGTACAGGCTGCAGCACTAGGGCTTCCTTGGTAGATGATAGGCTAGGGAATATTACTTAGTTGGCTCCCCTATTAAAAGACTTTTTTTTAATAAAAGAAAACTCCAAAAACTTGAAGTCTGAAATTTAATATGAAGGTTAAAGAGTTTTCGCTGACAGAGTATTATATTAACACAAAATTGGCTGTGGTCGTTTCCATCGTTAATTGCTATTCATGATTTTGATTCTGTTGTAAGTTTCTTGGCATTAATTTTTTAGAATGATTCTGAGAAGTAATTATCACAGTTTTATTGTACTATTTGCATAAAATTCTGCCATCTGGGAGAGAGAATTTAGTCTAATGCAGGTCAGTCTTCTGAGACTTTTTTGTCTCTTCGGTGTCCATGTATCAATGTGACAGAAGATGACAATGGGACTGAAGGATCTCATCTGTGAAGTGGCTCCAGGTTCTGAGGGCAGCATCCATCACAAGTTCAAAAACAGTCCGTTTTTGGAGTTAACTGGCACTGCCATCTTAGATCTCGAAGTTTGTAAACATCGTTAATAGGACAATATTTAAATGCGCTTTCTGCTTTTTATTTATTTATTTATTTTACTAATTTTAATGAAAGTTTACAGAGACTTAGGGTTTCCGGTCATTTATTGTTGCACTTTTCTCCCTGACCCCCCCCCCCCCACCCCTCTGCCTATTCACTCTTCTCAGTAAAAAAAGAAAAACTCTTTGATTGTTATGCAGTCCCTCTCCCCAAGTCTGCTCCACTATGCAGCCTTCGTTCTGGACTCCTGTCATGACAGTAATACCTAACCATATATCCCTTTTAAACAGTTTTCTCCCTCATCTGTTTCAATGCGGTATACATCATTCTGCTTTTTAAGAGGCCACTTTAGGACATCTGTTGATGACAGTTACTGAGTGTTCGCCTTGTGCTGGGCACTAAGTAAGAGGATTGCTTACCTTCTCTCAATTGATCACAAGCTTCTTATGAGGGAAATTTGACTACCATTCCTATTTTATCTCCTAAAGCAGAGGCTGAGAGGCCAGGTGCCTGACCAGAGATCACACAGCTAAGCGCTGAGCAGAGACTCAAACTCGGATGTTGCGACTGCAGAGTCTGTATTGTTAATCATTACTCGAATTCCTACTGAGTTCTGATGTTACCATTATGTATAAGGAAAGCCGTAGACATGACCTTGGAAAGCAATCAGAAGAGGAGTCAGGTGTCATAGCAGAAGTTCATTTTTGATGCTAATAGCACCCAGGGAGCTCTGGTGGTCTACTGGGTGAGTTGCCCTGCCAAACCAAAGGCAGACAGTTCAAATCTACCAGCTGCTCCCCAGAAGAAAGATGGACAGTCTCTTCTTACAAGATTTACAGCCTCTGAAAACCCGCCGGAGGGTCCACTATGAGCTGGTTCTGACTCGGTGGCAGTGGGTGAATGTGTGAGTGAAGTAGAGCCCATCAGTGTGGGATGATGTGGCCCTTGACTACATCGTTGAGAATGTAATTGAGCGATTCTCTAGCCTTGACCAACGCCTCATTTTCAGTGACCTTGTTATTTCATAAAGGAGCCCTAGTGGCGCAAAGGTTAGAGCGCTTGGCTGCTAACTGGAAGGTCAGTGACTTGAACCCACCAGCAGCTGCTTGGATTACAGCCTTGGAAGCCCCATGGAGCAGTTCTACCCTGTGCTCTAGGCATCCTGTGGGTTTGTATTGACTCGGCAGCAATGGGTTTAATTTTTAAAATATTGTCTTATGTACAGTCTTATGTGGTGTGCTAAGAAATAAATAGCCTCCCATCCTCTGGTGGTTGTTCTCCAGATTTCTTGGCACAGCTTGGTGAGCACATTTACTGCAGAGGGTCAAGGACTGCAGCCTTCAGTATGGACTGAGGCTCAATGTCAAGAAGACAAAGATTCTCACCACTGGACCAATTGGTAGCATTAGGATGGATGGCGAAGAGATTGAGATTGTTCACAGTTTCAGTTTGCTCGGCTCCACGGTCAACATTCTTGGCACCAGCAGTCAGGAAATAAAAAAACGTATTGCGATGGGAAAGTCTGCTGTTAGGGACCTCTCTAAAGTACTCAAGAGCAACGGTGTCTCTCTGGAGACTAAGGTGCGCCTGATACAGGCCATGGTCTTTGCAATCACTTGTTATGCATCAGAGAGTTGGACAGTGACTAGGGAGGACTGAAGGAGAATTGATGCCTTTGAGCTGTGGTGCTGGAGAAGAGTATTGAATGTACCATGGACTGCCAAGAAAACAAACAGATTCATCCTAGAGAGGGTTAAACCAGGCTACTCCTTGGAGACAAAGATTCAGGGGCTTCGCCTGACATACTTTGGACATGTTGCAAGGAGAGACAGGTCTTTGGAGAGGGACATCATGCTGGGTAGAGTAGAGGGACAGCGCAGGAGGGGAAGACCCTCTATGAGGTGGATTGATTCAATGACTGGGGTAATTGGGATGGGTGTGTCAGAGGCAATGCGATTGGCACAGGATAGAGCAGGGTTTAGGGCCGTTGTGCACAGGGTTGCTATGAGTCGCAAACGACTTGACGGCACATAACAACAACAACAACAACCCATCCTCTGACCTTGAGTCTTTGGGATATCCCTACAGCATGCACTAATACAGTTTTGGATTCTGCTGGGCAGGGTATGTACTAGTCTTCGTATTTTCTCATGTCTTTAAGAAAACTGTCTTTTCCTTCTTTCTCTTTAGAAAGTGCAGAAGGTTTTCCAAGTTATGACACAGCTTCTGAACAGCTTCATGAAGCAGGCTATGATGCCTACATCACAGGACTGTGTTTCATCTCCATGGCAAATTATCTAGGTATTCACTGTCCGCGTCTCTGCCCCAGTACCTATCTGCTGTTTCCTTGGGACCCACTCACCCTGTGAGAAGTGAGAAGATTTTGAGATTAGAGTTGATGGAGATTGGGGGGTTGGAATATCAGGAAGAATCTGCTTGACTCTTCCTCATTGTATAGTGACTGGCTCTTAGTACTTGGTACATTCACTGAACCACTGAGTTCATTTTTAAAAATAAATGTGTGTGTGTGTGTGTGTGTGTGTGTGTGTGTGTGTAATAGGTTTTTTATCATGATAGATAGATAATAAAACTTGTGGATGGTAGAAGCAGAGGAGGAAAACTCAGCTGTTTTTCACTAATGATGCAACTTGTGAGACCCAGGAAGCAAGGGAGTCCCATCAATCTCCAGCTTTCATATATTTCACTATATAGTTAAGTATTTGCAAAGTCGCCAATTTTACCTTGTTTGGTTCAGTCAGATTCATGACGTTCATCAAGCAGTGAAAGCATCCCCAGAATCCTCTTCCGAATTGTTTCACTACCAGATGATGATCAATTTATGCCTCAGTTTTCTGCTTTGGCTTCATGAATGTGAATAACCTTACTTTTCTTTTCCTCACTAGGTTCTTTTCTCAGTCCTCCAGAAATTTTCGTCTCTGCCAGATCCAAACTCATTGAACCTTTTTTTAACAAGTAAGTAATCACTACATCTTTTTTTTTAACAAGTAAGTAATCAGAAGATGCCACTCCCCAGGTTCACTTGCATTGTGGAAGAGGTACCTTCTTGGGATGTATGTCAATTAGGAGTGGTTGGGAGATACAGGGAATTATATAGGAGAACCGAGATACTTTTTTTTATATTGATATTTTAACAAGTTTACAGAAAACTTGGGATTTCCATTCATTCATTGTTGAACATTTTCCTCCTGACCTGTCCCTCTGTTTGCTTTCTCCTTAAAAAAATTCTTTCATTGTTGCACAGTTTCCTCCCTCCCCCCACCCCTGAGTCCACTTTGCTATGCAGCTCTTATTCTGGACTGTTGTTATGCAGGTAACACCTAATTGTATATTCCTTTTAAACAGTTCTTTTCCTTAACTGTTTCGACGGTATGTTCATTATTTATGCCCTCTTTTCTTAGTTTCCCCCTTACCCCCATGTCAGTCCTGTTTTATAACAGTGGTTTTATGCAGTATTTGTCCTTTTGTGACTTAGATATTTTCACTCAACATAATGTCTTGCAAGATCACTAATTTTGTGTAATATTTATGAGTTTCTTGTTGTTCAGTGTTGTGTAGTATTCTATTGTGTGAATATACAGCTTCTCTCTCCATTCATTTGTTGATGGCTTTTGAGTTGTTTCTGTTTGGTATTTTGAACAACAAATCAATAAACATGGGTGTGCATATATCTGTTTGGATGGCAGTTCTCGTTTCTTTAAGGTATATTCCCAGTAGAGCAGTTTCTGAGTCAAATGGTATTTCTATTTCTCACTTTTCGAGAAAGTACTATACAGCCTTCAATAGTGGTTGCACCATTTTGTACTCCAGCCACCAGTTCTGATTTCTCTACAACCTCACCAGCATTAGTTGTTTGCTGTTCTTTTGAATTTTGCTATTGTTACTGGAGTGAGATGATATCTCATAGTTATTCTGCAGATAAGATACTTCTTATCTCTAGTGATTCAGTTGTTTTGTGAAAATGCAAATTCACCTTTGGGAAATGATTTATTAAGTAGATTGGTTAAAAGAGACATTACCAATAGTCAGAGTGTCTTTTCCAAGGAAAAAACAACAGGTAATTTGGCGTTTAAATTACTTCCAGGGTAAAATGTCTACCTTACCCCTACCACATTTTCTTTGGGAAATTGTTAGCTAAGCTTGACACAGTGGTTGCAACACTGGGCTCAGGGCCAGTGGAGATTGTGTGGATGGTATAGGACCAGACAAGGTCTCAATATGTTGTACACAGGGCAGCGATGATTTGGAGGTGACTCCACAACAACTAACAGCACCAACCTGCTTGTGTTACTATATGGCTAATATTTTCAAGAGCTCTCACCAGAGCCTAGTGGTAAGAAGCTACACTGCCATCCCAAAGGCAAACAGTTCAAATGTTCCATGGGAGAAGGATGGGCACTCTCCTCCCGTATGATAAACTGCCTCTAAAAACCTGCTGGGGGGCCAGCTGTGAGTGAGTTCAGACTCGATGGTACACAACAACGTCAACATTTTCAAAATCTTCTAGTCATTGCACAATGGCTTGGAAGACCAACTCTGGAGAGATACTGATTCTCCCTGAATCCTAATCCCTTATCTGAATTGAAGCATTAAAATAAAAGCCCATGGGCCTTTGTTGCAGGAAAAAGTCCCTGAGATTTAGGGAAGAGTCTCTGAGTTCAGAATATTTTTCAAAGTTTGAAATCTCAAGATTATTACTTCAAAGTGTGGTTTGTGCTTGCTTGGAACAGTTGCAGCTGCCATTAGGCATGTTATCTTCACAGAGGCCAGTGTCCAACTCTGTGCCAGAGCCTCAGACTTGGTCTTTGCCCCAGCTGTATTCACCAGGTTGGTTCTTAGGAACTCTAGATGAGCCAGAGCGAACAGGACAGCCCCTGGGGATCATTATCACTAGGAGGGAGGGTCTAGCGCTTTCACTGTTGGGCTGGTGATGTGGTTTCTACTACGTGGTATGCAGCACTTTCCAGCCCTGTCAGTGCTTTCCTGCAGGCGGAAACTGATGCCTTCAGATCCTTGTATCGATGTGCGGTACCACAGTGCTGGTGCTGGGTGAGATGGAGCAGGGACACATGCCAATCCCAAACATTGGACAGGCTCTGGATTTGCAGCTTCTTATGGTTTATTTAAGCTTTGCTTTTAAATATTTTAAATATATAAAATATCGAAGTTTATCCCAGCAGGAAAGTCATTACACATTCTTCTTTTAATACATAAAACCATAACCCTGCTTCTCCAGGAAAATCGGCTCCTTATGAAATAAGATGGGAGCCCTGGTGGCATGGTCCATAAGGAGTTGCATGCTAATCCAAGGCCACACTTTTTGGGCAGGTTGAATCGCCCAGAGAGGCTCCAGTGAGAAAGTTGGAGAATCTCCCATGCAATTTACAGCCGTGGAAACCCAATGGAGGGTCAGCTGTGAGTCAGACCCAACTTGATTGCAGTTAGTTGAGTCATGGAATCAGGTGATGGGCAAACCTGGTTAGGTGTAGAAAGCATCTAATTGGTTAGTTGTGTGTGACTAACATGCACAGCAGTAAGACGGCCTAAGAGAATATTGTTGATAACTGAGAAGATGACCCAGAGGAACTGCACAGTAAGTGCATAGTAAATATATTTTAAGTAGGAGCATCTGTTCATTTTGATTTTGTTTTGCCAAAAGATGCATCACAGGAATAGTTGAAAAGAGTAGGATTCATGGACTGTCCTCTGATAGTTCACTAAAAATCCTTCTCTGACTTGATTTTCAATTCAGCTCAGTTGTTCCAGGTAATAGAGGAACAGCAATGTCAGTTTGAGGAGTAAGGTGCACCTGATCCAGGCCATGGTCTTTTCAGTCACCTTCTGTGCATCTGAGAGCTGGACAGTGACTAAGGATGACAGAAGAAGAATTGAGGCCTTGGAGCTGTAGTTTTGGACTGCTAAAAGAACAGACGTATCTTGGAGAGGGTGCAGTCAGAGTGCCCTTTGGAGGCAAAAATAACAAGCTTCATCTCACATACTTTGGGCATGTTGCCAGGAGAGATTATTCCTTAGCGACATCATGCTTGAAAAGGTGGAGGGTCGGCAGAAGAGAAGAAGACCCTCAACCAGATGGGTTGGCACAGTGACTGCAGCAGTGGGTTTGAGTATGTGAGTGATTGTGAGGATGGCACAGGACAGGACAGGGTTCCGATCCATTCATAGGGTTGCTGTGAGTTATACTTGACTTGACAGAACCTACTACTGACAACAACATTTGCTCTTGAGTCAAACCACCTCAGCTGACCCTTCAGTGGGTTTTCAGCACAGGAGGGGATCGCTCGTCTTTCACCTGGGGAGCAGCTGGTGGACTTGAACCATCGTTGGCAGCCCAACTCCTTACCGCTAGGCCACCAGAGCTCCAGGCCTTGATTTAGAGAATCTGTTTTTCCCTTCAAAAAGGAACAATATTTTTTCCCCCATCTTTGAAGGAAGAGAACCTCCTGAATAATTTGAAATGCAAAACTGTTGTTATTTCATCCAGGAGTAGCTGGGGTAAGTACAGTCACCCGTGCTCAGCCCGTTTAGAAAGTGGGGAAACACAGTTGCTGCTTTTGCTGTCTCTCTCTGTGTTGATAATGACTTCATTCACAGTTACTTGCAGGTATGATTTTTGGCACGAAACCTTGATGTTGTCATTTTTCAAGTTGGCTTTTATAGAAAAGCAGCCAACAGTTGCTGCCACCGTTTATCTCAAGCAGAAAAATAAGTAAACCTTTTTGAAGGTTTATTTGTTTCAGCACCAGGCATTTCTAAAATACAAGGTTTACTGAACGCACTGTCCTCCTGTAAATTTGGATGGGCATCAGACTGCTGGCATTTACAAGTAGTGTTTTGATCTGCTCTCTCCAGATTAATGATTCAGAAGTAAACCTTGAGGGGAAAATAAGTACCTATTTCTGAGTTGTTCTAACTGGCATTTGCCTTTTTGGAAGCTTTTTTTTTGGAAAAACCCCAAGACACCTGGTAGATGAGCAGTATGCAGAGACTAACTGTAGCATAAGGGACTGGCTAAGCCATACTTGATCATATTGTTAGGAAGGGCCAGTCCTTGGGGAAGGACATCATGCTGGGAAATGTGGGCGGTCAGCATAAGAGGGGATGACCTTCCACAGGGTGGACCGGCACAGTGACCGTCACAGTGGGCTCAAGTGTATCAGAGCTGGTGAAGATGGCACAGGACAGGGCACAGCAGACCTGCTGTTCATACGGTCACAGTCAACTCAGTGGCACGCAACACCAACATACTTCCCAGCAAGAATGTCCCATGGTGTTGTGTCGTGGGCACCTCCCAGTTTGTCTCTTTGCTTTGTTGGGATCAGGCTGAAAACCAAGAGAGTCTAGCCTTGGGGCAGGAGCAGACCCCTGCTAATGGCTGACCAGGTGGAATGCATGCTCCACTGATGCTGGGGGCTCAGTGGTCAGGAAATGACTTACCTTCTTTTCGGGCCGCCGTCAGTTTTGATCAATGCAGGGAAAACCAGACTTTGAGCAGAGCCTTTGGTCAAATCCTTTTAGGCTGGAAAGGGCTAAAAATACCCTCTTTTTAAATTTTACCACAGAAGACCCAACCGTAGATCCTTGACCTGTGTTTTATGAACACACTTGTCTGTTCGTGTAAGACACCTTGAGCCATTTTTGAAGATAACCTTTCCTGAAGACGTTTAGGGGAAGGTTGTTTTCTTCTTCCCTCAGTTCTTAGAAAGAAAATGAAACAAGAACAAGGCAAGTGTCTTATTTGGCTGTTCCTTGTAAAGAAAGTAATTAAAATGAATAGTCATCTGTGATGTTATTGAGGTCATAAAGACAATGCAAATGAATTTGGTTCCTAAGAGCTTAGTAACAGGTGGCTTAGCAGTAAAGAATTATGCTACCGAAGGTGGGTGAGGGTGGGGGGAAATGTGCAACAATGAATGAATGGAAGTTCAAGTTCTCTG